AAGACACTGATGGTTGTCCTGCTTGAAGGAGCATGGAGAGAAACACGGTAGCATGCAGTACAGGAGTCAGTGAACTGTCAACTGGGACAAAGACTGAGAGACTACATGCATGTGAATAGAACCAGACTGTACAACGTGTTTGTCGACCATGTCAGAAAATGTGTAAAGCTGTTGCTAACGACCACGCTGATAGGAAGGCTCCTCGCCCGGGCCGACTTAGGACACAGACATTTGCAGGCACCTGGAAAATTACAATTGCACTTGTTTGTACAAACAAAAATGGACTGCATAACACTATGCAGTCCATTCACTCTCCCACATACACAATATTGTATCCAGCACAATGATACCGATCACTTCCCCAAGCTTTGGTCTATAAATAATACCTTTCTGTTTGCACATGCCATTCTGTGGTAGCACCCCAATGTGCAAGTGACTAACTGTGAATGAAGCACTTGATCTAATTTTGGATCGTGGCCCATGGTGAGTATGAGAATATCGAACCTCAAGAAGTGGTGGAGGAGGAAGCCTGCTGAAAGACACATCTGAATATGCACCTGAATACAATATACACACCGGCACCGTGGCATTTTTATTTTGTTGTTTGTAAAGCCTTGCTATTGCTATCATACCGTGTTAAAACATGTTTGATGGTCATATTTTCTGTATATTCATTTTGAGTTCTCCATGTTATTGTGATATTTTAATATTATTTAGGTTGATGCTCCAAATAAACCCAGTCCGGACAAATCCTAAGTGCTTTAAATCAACTCAAAGAAATCAACAAAACCAAATTCTAGCCCTAAACTCTAATGTCAAAGACTCTGCAAAGGGGGAAATTATGAAAATACAATTCCATAATGTTGAACATGTTGGAAAATATGGATTTACACTTTACAACTAAACAAACTCCATCGGCACCCAAGGTAATGTCTGGAGCTTCAGCATTAAATATCCAAGGTCCAGAATAAACTGCCAATCCCCTATTAAAGGTTGCCTTGGAAATGACCGACAGCAGAAAAACTAATTATGACTATTCAAATCATATCAATGAATAAATCCTAATCGTCTTTGATGATTGGTTTACTCCTTGGTGCTGGGATGGGTTAAACCACTTCTGAAAAAAAAGAAGCGGTGCGTCCAGCTCATCGGCTGATATCCCCAATTACAGTGGCTCTTACTTATAAGAGCTGTCACACCCAGTGTCATGTGCTGCGGTTCCCCGCGGGGACCCTGCGCGCTGCGGCGGGGGTCTGCCTGCCTGCGCCCTCCCATCCGCGCAACCTCGCCGCCGTGCGCGGCCACACCTGCGCCAAACCGGGAAATCCGCCCGGTGGAGAGAGGAGGCGGACGGACAGCGGGGCTCCAGAGAAGCGGCGGCGGCTGAACGGAGCGCCTTCATCGGCCGCTATCGCGTCGGGCTGCGTTGGGCACTTGATCCGCAGACGGGCGAAAAGGCGCAAGCAGGAGACGATTGGCGCAAATGAGACTTTACGAAAGCGGCGGACACGAAAGACGGAATTCAAACGAAATTGATCAGCACCGTTACAGAGACCCGAGTGCGAGCAGAGCTGCGCGCAGGTAAGATACGGAACCACAGGAACTGCCCCGTTACAACTTTTTAATAATCCAACGCATTTGAATTCAAACGATTTGTTATCTTCATTTGAACCTTATTTTTGGGGTAACGTTTTTATTTCAGAAAGGTAAATGAGTCCCCGAGGAAACCAATGATAATACGGTTTTGAAATAGTTAATATGCCGAATGTATTATAAAATACTCGAAGCCTATTTGGAAGTAAATACTCTTTTCGCCGAACGTGGATGGTGGTGTACAATAATTGCATATATGGTGTATGACATGCTTTAATATTTGTAATAACTAAAGGTCACAAAAATGCACCTATGAGGACCAGCATTTGTCGGTCCCTTTATTCCCTCTTTTTTGACTTAAATTCAAAGGGTAACATTTCATTTTTCTCCATATATTTAATCTTAAACAAACTGATCTTGCCTTCATATATTTCTGTTTTGTGCTGTGATGTTAGGGTTCCTGTAACTTTTATTGTTGTTTTAAAACACACACTTCAAAGTCATCCAGCGTTTTGAAATGGAAAACCATCTGAGGTGCTTGATGACTAGCTGGAAGCCAAACAGTAGATATTGATAAAATAATCACAAAATCCATATTTTACACCTTTCACTGTCCTTTTCTAACCTGCAAGAGTAGTCAAGCGTTATAAATGAATGCATTAGCAGACTATAATGTTTATTCAGGAGCATTAACCTCCTAACGCATGTAGCCTACTTGTAATTAAGTGAGTGTTTTATAAGTTATGGTGAAACTTTTGCTCACTAACAGTAATATAACGCTGTTGACTTTCCGGAACAAATGGGTTGAGTTGCGCTTTAAAAAACAAGGAAGTAAAACACGTTGACATCGTATCACACGCTGACCTTTGCTCGCGCGGTTATCGAGTGCACATAACAGTGTGCAGCACGGTGGATCATCAAATAACAGGACTACTGTCGTGCACTTTGAGTTCAGCTATACTCCATTGCGGAAAATGAATAAACCGCAGAGAGGACATGTTGTCAATGATCTAATTTGAATACACCCTCTATACATGATGCCCTGTGACACTTTGCCTGTATAAATATGTTGTTACTGATCTAATGACCAAAGACAAATCATGATCATCAGAAGTGGCGTATAACGCTCCACACTGAAAATACTTTCCGGATGAGGCAGTTAACCACAATTCAAGGTAAAAACAACATGTGAAGGGGAAACATGGAAATTGGTGAGAGTGTAGGAGTTATATGAGAGCTCAGGTGAGGTTTGTGTTTGTTTGTGCGTCTATGTGAGACATGGACGCCAGACAAAGAATGGGGTAGACAGTGGGACGGAATCTTAAATATCCCGAGAGGCGTTTTGTTTCACAATCAGCAGATACAGAGTCAGGCAGGTTGTGTGTTTTCACAGCAGCTTTGCGGGCCCGTCGACCTCTGTCCCTTGGCACACGTTGTATCCACCTATAGGCCTAAGCATAATCGATTCAATTCAACCAATTCAGTATAAGGAGAGTAGGTAAAGAATAGCGTTGGCCTCGACATGTAGAGAACACTCTCTCTCTCAAAGAGCTCATCATAACATCAAACAGAAATGGGTCGAGACACGTTTTGCAAGGCTGTCCTGTGCTTAAAGCTAACGTTAGCATGCTAACATGCATGGAGCATGCTGGTGATTCACCTATAGTGTTTAGTGAGCATCGGAAGCAGCTCGTGAGCATCGGAACATTTGCTAATTACCCCCAATCAGAAGGTAGACGCTGAAGGTACTTTTGTATTTGGCTAGTTTACATCTTATCTGTAACTAGACAAACTAGCAATTACAGGTTCAAGGCCAAGTAATAACCTGGTATACAAGCCCATGTAAAACAGGGAATTGATTTTACACTTAAAGTGTTAATTAGTGAGCTTTAGATGTGCTTGTAAGCATTTTATGTTACCTTTGGACTGATCTAAGCAGCTTTGCACTTGATTCCTGTGTTATTAATGCTAAAGAAAGCTAATCAGCTACTGGCTTTAGCGTCACGTAGACATTCAGCCCGATGCAAGACAGCTAATGATGTTTCACAATGATCCTTTTAGGTAACATAAATAAAGAAATTGGATGGCAATCCATTCAATTAAGACTTAATAAATAATAAATATATATTTCACTTATCACCATAAATGTCATGTTAGCACTAGAGAGAAAGAAAAAAAAACAAGAGCATCAAAGAAATTTAGCTTGATTTTCTTGAATATCTGTGAACATTTCATGGCGATCCAAGCGGTTACAAATGCCAAACCAATACTTTCTCAACCTAAGGTGCTGCTGCAATAAAGACACGGCACTTTCAGGGAGTCGAAGCATAAGATAGACAGCCCGACATTGAGCCAGCCATCTCATTCATTACAAACACAGACAGCCAATATCAAATTAGAATATGCTGAATTTCACCTCTGAACCCACACGGGAGGAGCGAAAAAAAGACGGAAGAAAAATAAAAGATGCCAGCCTCTCTCCCATCGTCAGCAGTGAAGCAGAAGGGCACCAGCATGTTAATTGGTGATTTGATTAGCGTTTTAATAATGCAGCTGGGTACGACAGTGGAGAACAACAGGCTGCTCCGAGGTTTTCAACAATCGGTCCTTCATCGCAGGGACCAACAGCCATTCAAACAAATTCCTCCAACTTCCTAAAGAAAACATACCAGCTTTCTTTGCTTTAGTTTGGTAATGGAGGCTTTTTGAAGGAAGCAGAAATTCTACCCAGTTAGGCCTAGAAACAAATATCTTCATTTGGCTCCTGCCATGGTAACAAGGCTGAATGTGACCTGAGCACGTCGCTGCTTTAATTACCACAGTCCTCAAGCTGAGCCATAGGTGAGCAGCTGACATAAAGGTCTTTCTTTCTCTCTTTCTGTCTTAGGTCTTCTTTTGTGATCGCTGACAAAGCGATGACAGTGACATTGACTAGGCCATTGTCTCCCCACTGCTTCCGGACGGAGGGAGCCTCCGTTGTCCATTGTGACTAGAGAGAAGAAAAGTCTGGAAAAAGACCCGATTCAGCATATTGTTTTTCCTTTCCAGCCCCATTTGCAAAATCCAAGAACAGCAGTGAAGCATCCGCCCCGTCCCGAGCCCTGAGCCCCGCCCTCGCCTCTATAATCCCCTTCACACTCCCTCAGCCCCTTCACCATCTCCAGCCCCAGCCTCAGCCTTTGCCCCATCGAGTCCCAGGTGACAGCTCAGAAACATCCGTTACCCTCCTAGTCAACATGCGCCTTCTTTCCTCTCGCTCCAGCCCCCGTGGCGCTTGGCACCAATGCCCGTCACATAGACAGATGGAGCCAACCCTGACCCTTCTCCTGGCCCGTGGGGACGCCAAGAGAATCAACGCCTGACTAGAGGACAGGGGGGGGGGGTTGTGAGTGTGTAGGTGTGTGTGTGTGGAGGGGGGACAGGAAGGAGAAGGAGCGTATTGCTTTTTCACCACAGCAACACATTGCCGAGTCTCCCGGAGATCTTCCCTGCTGCCCAACACTGAGCAGGAATTTCCTAAACCTCCAAATTTTGCCTGATAAATTCTTTCTTTGGTTACTTGGCAGAGATAACCGTAAACCACAGGCTCCGCGATCTAAAACCACTGAAGGCAAGCCAGCTCTGAGCTCCACACTGTTTTCCTTATGAAGTGAGATTCAAAAAATAAATAACATCATTGTGCTTCCCGTAAGAGGAGATAATTGAGGGACTCCAATCAGAGCGTCCTTGTGTGTGCTGGTGTAGCTTTATCTAAGCGGTAACATTTTGCCTTTCATCCCCATTAACTAGTCCAAACATTGATAGATTCATTCTAGAGCAAGATTTTGGCTACTGTGCCGTTGCTGGATCTAGTCGTCGTCTTCTAACCTGCTCTGCTGAGCGGGCACTTGGATTAGCTTATAATGACATACGAGACATTTTAGAAGGACCACGTATCAGCAATAAAATGAGACACTAATTGCCGGTGAAATGATTTTAGCAGGCTGACATAACAGAGGGGGGAATACCGGAGTCCCAACGCTTCGCAGGTAAATGGAGTGCAGCACGGGGTATTTACCCCACAGCTCCTGCTGCGACCTTTGCGGCTGAAAAGCTAAAGGAGGCAGAAATAGAAAGACATCCATTTTTGATTTGTCATTAGCGATACAAGGATTGTTTCGACAGTAACGCAAAGGAGGAAAAACACAAAACTTTTAGTTTTACGACTACTACTTTACCGTGGATTTTCCAGGACTCCGGGTTATCATTCCCAAACTCCCCAAATAAATGATAAAGGGTGTTTTTTTGTACGCAATAATGCATGATTTTAATGAAACAGAAGCCCATCGGTGGATGTACATCGTGCGTTATCTGATGTGCAACATTTCCATATTAGTGGATCTGTATTCATGGATATGCAAAGAGCATTGTGGGAGTTGTGTGAAAACTAACAGCTACGGTGTAAAGATTCATCAATAGATGTCATGTACCCAAGGTTTTTGATGCACAGGTGTGAATGACCTTTAGAGCGTGCAGCATTAACGATCCTGTTGGCTTTGTGGGAGATGAATGTACGGTGTGGCGTTTGATTGGTGGGGAGTCGTAGTGCTACAATGTAAATTGAGAAAAATGCATCAGAGAGCAGAGACACATTGACGGTCAGTGTCACAATGTCTCCATCTTCGCCAGAGTACCATCAACTTCTTATAAGTTGCGGTCATCTTTCTGTATGAGCTCCTAAGATTCTCTGGGTCTTCACTACCAGTTCGTCTAATGATTGCCAACCCAAAAGGCCTTTAGGAACTTTAATGCCAGATTGCTGTGGTATCTCGGATAAACAAAGTCATGAGGAGGTTTGTAAGCTGTTTGAGTCCACTTACCTGTTCTCTTGCAGTTGAAATGAAGCCGGTGGGGGGGGGGGACGCAGTCAGGCTGCGCTTCTGTGACTGGAGGTCATAGCCTGAAGGTCATATAAGTGATGGAAAAAGAAAAGCAGGTACAGTCCAGCGGTTTTGTGTGTTTGCGTTTTCCGTGGGGAGCCCAGGGAGAAGCACAACATAGAGTGAGGAACGCTTGCGTCGTTAAGCGTTCAATTTCATTTCATGATCTTTGTTGCATGCCTTCGCCTCCCGCTCCATCACCCGCTTCTCTCCTTGCCTCGCTTTACTTTGGGCTGTCTCATGAATCAGGAATTCCTCTTTCATAAACTGTATGAAGCGAGGTGGTATTTTCAAACTTTTAATAAGACAAAGAGGTGAAGTATTGTTTTTGCCACCTTAACACCTTTGGCGCCTCTACCTCAGACACACACACACACACACACCTCAATTACTGTGCTATTTCTGTTCTGCTACCTGTCAGTGACAGTGAGCTCCAACCAGCTGCGATTAATTAGTGACTCAACAAACACACAAACGCACAAATGCACACATACAAATACACTTTCATCTCTCTGTGGGAAGTATTCACTAGAATATCACAAGATAATAAATAGACATGCCGAGACACACATGCCCTTCACCTTTTACTGCTAATTTATAACTCCTGCAAAACATACACGGAAGCAGACACACATGCACACGATCTATTACCCATCAGATACAGAACGTGAGGAGCTTCTGGAACAGCATGTTGCAATTACACACCCGTCCTTCTCCGCTTTAATTACCACAGTCCTCATTTAACACCTTGTATTCATGGACCTCACATCTCCCCGTGTCTCAGCACAGGACAATACCTCTCCATCCTGATAAGAAATGTTATCTTTAGTTCAAAGACTTTTCTAAGACTGTGTGTTGCTCTCACCTCGTTTCAACTGGTGCTTTCTAGAGGTCCCCATGGTTAAAAAGTAGAAGCAAGGTCTTAAAACGTAAGACGATGTTCCGCTTGTCCAGATTGACGTGCTCATTCTATTTTGTAGATCGGTGTTTGTGTTAGCAAACCTCGCCGTTGCTGCTGCCAGCCCGCGTTGGGCGCGTGGGCCGGGGCCGCACACCGCACACTTTAATAGAAGTAAAGCAGCAGACACCCGCGGCAGTTTGAAAAGACAAGCTGTCGAGTGCCGTAACCTCCAGGGTGTGTGTGGTGCGTTTGTGCTCCTATGCGTTTACATGATTGTGTTATGGCTGTGTGATGAGGTTACAGACTACACTTTCAATGATATGTGCTGAGGTAAGGTAAAGACTGAAGGAAGAGACAAGGGGTAATAGAAAATAACATGGTTTTCTAGACACAGACTATTGAACGGATGTGTGATGAAACATATTAAAACCAACTGTGCAGTTCAGTACAGAATATGCACAGGTTAGGTAGAAACGAGTGAGCTTGGCTTAAGGTAAAAATAGGAGGATTTATTGGGTGAGCTCATGTGGCCTTGTGTTTGGGAGGCTGAGAGAACCGAAATGTACATTTGTGCATTGGATGTTTGATTCTGTGTAAGTGTGTGTGGACGGGCATCATCTATTCTATCAGCAGCTGATGATTGTTTTTTCCTGCAAACTCAACAGTGGCAACTTATTAGCATAGTGATGACGAGAGATAGAAAAGGTTGTTGAGTTTCTTTTAAAGTTTTGATCCTCAGAGAAACTGTGTGTTAGTGGGATTTTAGTGTGTGTGTTTTTATTTGTGTGTGCATCTTGGGTGTCATGAATGTGAAAAATTACACAATGATTGTTTTTGAAGAGTACATTTCTTCATTCAAAGGGTACAAGAATGGGTTAGAACATAGAGGTTTAAAGTCCACACTTTAGTGCTCCCGTAAAACCAGTCTCTGTGTACTTTGATGTAACAAGGCTCAGCTATTGAAACTGGCTTGCGAAGTAACCCCAAAGCGCTTTAGGAATGAAGGATGTGAACCAGCACCCGTTTATATGCTGTCATTTATTGTAGAATATACAAGGTATAGGTGCTAGTCAGTTAGCTCGCCAGTCTACTCAAGATAAACACAATTATTTTCATTCACTAGTTAATTTTATGTGATTAATTTACATTGTTTTGTTGTATTACAACCTGCTGTTACTTTTATGGTCACATTTTAATAAATATTATTTAAGTATTGAGATAATCAAGCTACCTTCGGCCTGTCTCTTAGGAATTAAAATACTCCCGGTGGCAGAGAGGGCACCAATGAGCAGAAAAGAATGCTCTAAAATGTGTACATTATGGGTGGAATCACACACTGCAATAACCCTGACACATCTACATCTGTCTTCTTCAGGTGCTGCTGCCCTGCAAAACCATCCTGGAAACAGATTTTTTCGACTCTTTGCTTTGGATGTTGAAGCTGTAAGGAGGATTTGGATCCAGTTAGCGTGAGAAACCTCAACTGATGTTGTGGAACCTATGAATGCAGACTCGGGCGGATAAAACTACAACATACTGAGCTCAGTATTTGGTGCATTGGATTTGTTTTGTTTCTACTTTTGCCACAAACTTAAGCCCTTTTCTTCAGGATAATACACAGGGCAAACTTGTGTACATTTGGTGAATGAAGTACAACTAAAAGGACCCTGTCTTCTTCTTCTGTGGTGGTTGAGACAACGCCATTGAAAGTGGCATCAGAATGCCTGAGCTGGAAAACTTTTCCCCCCTGAGAAGTCCGAGAGGCCATGAGCCGGGCCCTAACGGACCGGCAGACCCGCTACGGATCCAGCACAGCATCCTGGAGGAGCAGGTGGAGCTGTGGTGGTTCAGAGATCCTAGGAAGTCTCTGCTCTGCTACTGCGTGGCCGTGCTCCTGATCCTGGGCTGCGGGCTGGGCGGGGTCGGCCTTCTCTCCACCACCACCAGCGTGTCAAGCGAATGGCGGCTGGGCGTGGGCACAGCCCTCTGCCTGCTGGCCCTGGGGGTCCTGCTCAAACAACTGCTCAGCTCGGCTGTGCAGGACATGAATTGCGTACGGAGCCGACGGCGGATCAACATGCTTAAAAGCGGCGGTTTATCCGACCTGCTTGTGATTTTGATTACGGGGCTGTCACTGTTGATTTGTGGAGGCGTTCTTCTACACCTGGCACTGGCTAATCACATGCCAAAGCCTGGCCAAGCCCTTAATGACATGTACATCTCTGGAGTGGTTTTGCTCGCCGGAGGGGGGTCCGCAGTTGTGGGTGTTGGAATATACTCTGTTGTGGTCATCTTGCTTGAGAGGACGAGGCACGGACGGAGGTTGGTGGACCGGGTTTTGAATATCTTCACTGTTTCTGGACACATGGACCGTCACGCTCGAAGAGAGACTACCTCCAGTCTGGCTAATCTGATATGAGCTGAGGCCGCACCAGGACGGTGTATTTTGGCGCCTCATGTTGAAACATTAAGCCTCAACTAAATCATAGCAGTCTTTATGCAAGAATATTACAAGAAGAATAGTTCAAACAAGACTCGTCCCTTATATGCTCTCGCTTTGCCACGAGCTGCCCAGACTCTGCGTGTGAGGCAAAGTGAACTGATTTTTCTAATATCTTCTTGCAGCAATCAAATCTCAGTTACAAAGCCAGGATGAAAGAATGGAACTGTAAAACGTTGAAGAAAAGTGCAAATAATAATGTACCGATTTGTATTTATTTCACAACACGTGACCAGTTACTAATTCAGATGCTGTGCAATTTATTATTCACATGAATGGCATTTTATTTAAGATCTGTGAATGGTATTTATTATTAGGCCAACTATCCTACCATTCACATAACAATCTGTTGCCCACCAACAAAAAAAACTTTTTAAGAAGTTGTCTCAATGGTATTTTAGGAGATTGAGAAACGGAAAGTAAATATCAGCTGAAACATCTTAAGCTAAAGGAGGAAGTAATTAGTTGTCAAATATTGTATTCTTATCAGATTTTTACAGCTGCCTGAAATTGAAGGGAAAGGCCGGTGGTCTGAGCGGAGCCCACGGCCATTTGGTTTGTACAAAGCTTTTCTGTATAAAAGCTGTTCCTAATAAAAGTTGACACTACACAGATAATGAGACAGAAACCTTGTCAAAGTTGGCATTAGAGAACGATGAGCGGGATCATCTACTAATTAGACTGTCACACGTTCATGATGTATAATACATATCCTGTAAGTGTCCTTGGACTGCACACTACTACTTGCTCAGTCATTGTTAAGATAAAATTAACAAGAGCACCAGCTGAAAGGCTCAAATATAAACTGCTAAGTGGGTAAACATAACTATATAAAAAAGCAGATTTTTAGAATGTATTTGTTATTCATGCCCCGTCCATGTTCACATGAAGATAAGGAAAATAACATAATTTGATGGATTGGAGGATTTAAGCTCCAGGTAATTCGAATGACTCATCCCTGTAAAGTTCTTTCCTCTGCAAAAATTTTTTTTTTACCATAATACACGCGGCCGCAGAAGGTTGCGTTGTTTGTGACAAACGTGGCTGAAACCTCACTATAATGCTTTGCTGCCACAGTAGATGAATAAAGACATTACGATGTTTAAAAGTCACATTACAGCACATAATGTTGCATAGATACTTTGTGTTTATGCATCAACACAGTAATGCTCTTTCTTTTTTTCAAATCTTTCATCTATTTTTGAGAGGTATTACTTTGTGTAATATGTATAATGCCCATTCATCTCGCTGAAGTCGTGGAGAAGCACAAATTGCTTCAGCTCCTAGAAGTTTTCGAGCCTCTTAGCTCGATTTTGTACCCTCTGATGCCTACGAAGGCATTTAATGTGGCTTTAAGCATGCTACCAAGAATGCACTATGAAGGATAGTTGCAATCTTCAAATGACAAAATGTTGTCATTTTGGGAAAATGGGACATTAAAGTCCTTTCACGAAAATCTGAAAACCCGGCCACATTTAAAGAAAATGTAGAAGAATCAGTCGGCAGCACAATTCCTTTGACTCTAAATCAAATTGGTGTGTAACATTTATTTATTAAAATCCCTGAAACCCTTCAGTAAAACAAAGGTTGCACATCATGTGGACTTTGATCAACTTCTGTGCACATCTTTCCAAACATCACTCATGCTTGTTTTTAGTTTACACATGAGGTTGTAGTTAAATTCTGAACTGTGTTGTCAATATGCTTCTTCATTCTTCACCAAACTATTGAATGTAAAGTATGCTGGCGATGCTGTATCGTTATCATGCAGTGTAATTTGTTTCCAGAAGAATAGAAAAATTCACATTCAAAGTAAGATGTTTCCTCTATTAACACACATTGTACACAGTGGCTGATATTGGAGGTCATTGGTGTCTGTAAAGTGTTCCCAAAGCCTTTGAGAGCTATTCCTCACTTCTCGTTATGGAAAAGCCTCAGAAAATATCCTGCATTGTGTCTCATATAGTGGTATGTATGTGTGTCGGTCAGGCCTCTTTTTCCTGCCTCCACATACGCAACTGTCTATTGCCTTCACACAAAAGCGGTCACACAGTTAAAACATTGTTGGAGCGATGACGGACAGCAAGCTGCAGCACAATGCACAAGGCAGCAGCAGCCTGGGGAGGCTGGTATGGACCAGCACCGCTCTCCGTCCCTCCTCCTCTGGCACCAACACAGACGAAAGCCAGGCGGATGCTGCGCACGTAGAAATACTGTAATCCTTACTTACACAAATTGTCTTCTGACCCACGGTATAAAGAAGCAATGGCAGGTTGTGTGTCCGTGCCTGACGGTAATACGAGGTGAGCAGAGCGAGGAAGGGAGGCAGGGATCGACTGAGGAGAGACGACTGAGTGGGAGGAGAGGATTCAGAGCTCCAATTTAGACAGACAAAATGTGTTCTGCCGCAACTTATTGCAAATGAAGGATCCAAATGCATATACTTCTACTTCCATCACAGCCTGCTCATGACATATTGTTGCTACATTTACGGCCTTACATGGCGGATTAAATGGATATTCCACTAATTGTTTACACGCCGATGTGCTTAGATTAACCTAAGCGGTGGTGGACTAGTTCAACCGTGCAAACACAGCCTACCTCGGGCATCAACCTTGATTGCAGATCTTGAAAGTATCGGGAAAATTTCAACATTTATAACAATAAAGGTTTTTTGAAGAACATGACCAACCCTACCTCTAGGTGATGCATTAGTATGTTTTTTAATTATATATAATATATAACCGTTTGACTTACCCATAGCTATATGTTTTGTATTTGTGGATTAGGTTTTGTTATCTTTGGATTTAATCAAGTTCCCAGTTTCCCTGCGTTTCCAGAGATCAGCTAAGCTTGGCCAGCTGCTTCTTAATGTTTAGTAAAACAAACATGAAACCATATAAGTTTCACAATGTACCTACATTGCACTTCAAACTACATTCCCAACTCCTAAACTCTTTTTGTTCAATTTATACGGTTAAATATGTATACATATTTTAAAGCACATCTGTAATAAGTCAAATTGTTGATATACATCATAATATAATTTATCTATCACTATTTGTTGGAACAAATACTGCTCTTACAAGTAAAAAAAGAAAACAATAGTATTCCAAAACATACCATTTTTTTATTTCCAAATATTTCCCTTTGCTTCCTATCAACAAATAGTAGTTGATCAATTGATGAAAACACATGTGAACACATTTATTAACAACTCATTGGTGTCAGAAATGTCCTCACCCATGATAATAAAATATAATAAGACAACGATTGTAAGAAGGTTTTTGTCTTCCTTGCTGTTGGCAATGCAGCTGTAACAGAGAATGCCGATCACACCACAATCTGCTCTGCAGAGGTCAATGGGTCTTCAGTGGTCAAAGATATGAAAAAATGAGTTGTGGTTAAACAATTAGTTCAACATAGTCAATATTCTCAAAATCCCTGCAGGTTATTTAACCTTTCTCCTGCCCACTCTCCTCAAGCCCCTGTTTTGCCCTCCAAACGTTTGCCACAGGGGACGTACTAGAATATTATAAACATCAGATAGAAGTATGACAAAAGATTCTGCACCGTGCTCATTCCTTTGGTCTCTATCTCAAAGCTGCAAGCTGATTTCCAGCACAAGCACAAGGTTACAGGCCCCATGAGAGCGAGCAGACGGTATCATGTTACATTGCCAGTGCTTATGACAATATAGTTTCTTATTAATCATTGATCTGGTCGCTGGTGTTAGTTTCACTGCACTGGGGATTATGTTCCCAGCACTAAAGGTGATGATACAGGCAATTTTTAAGGCATTTAATATATAATATAAAGGTTGCTACAAAACATATGCCTTTGAGAGGGAGGCGGATTAACAGCCGAGTTAAAATGTATGGGTCATAAAGTGGTTATTAAGGACAAACCATGAGCGATAAAAACGTTGCAGTTAAAGCTGCTGAATGATGTTCTAAGAAGTTGTGGAGTGGTTTAAGTCCAGCATGAAGCAAATACAATCCCAAAGGAAAAGAATAACATCCAACAGAGTGCACGGCACACTTTTGATTCAGAATAATCATGTTCCTTTGAGAAATGACGCCTCACACTTACTCTATGTTGGCACAACACGACCGTTTGGTTTGTGCGTTAGACAGTAAAAAGCTACACATCTCGGTGCACACAACGAGCATCCAAAGGATAATGCTCTGAATCCTGTGTTTTGCAGTATTTAAAAATTAGCAAAACTTGCTTCAAAATGTGTTTTCCTTCAGAATTAAGCTTCATGTTAACCTCAAGGTTAGGATCAAAAGCGAGGGAACGAGAACTTGCCAGAACCAGACGGTGTCACAAAATGATCAGTTTAGTTATTAGTATGTTTGAAAAGGATGTTCTGGAGTCCTGAGGAGCCGTTTAAAAAGTCACAGTTGACGCGACAGACTTTCCCGTCTGAGTTGAGAATGTCTTAGAGGAAGGGAGGAGGTCTCGCTTCCGTTTAGAGTAGGAAACACTTTCCTGCGTTGTCCTTCACTTGACCTCTGAGGTCCGTTGCAGACGGGGAGCCAGAGAAATAGAGGAGAGGAGAGGAGAAGACAGACAGACATAGAGAAAATATCCATTCGTCTAGCAGCGTCTGTGCCCTTTAGTTTGTCCGGAGCTGGTAATCTGCCAAGAAAGGTAACAGCAGAGCATTAACGCCGCTTTCTTCTTCTTATCGCTCCGCACATTACATTACTTTCAATGAGCCCCAATAAATCTCCAAAACAAGATTTACACAAACTATCTGGAGTGAATTCATTAATTCTCTGCTGTTTCAGACATTACTGATCATTTCACATCTATTAGTATGAATATTAGTCATACATTAATCCTAAATAGGATACATCAGAGTCAATATACTGTATGAGTCCTGTGCAATAGATACAAATCATGTTTATACTGTATGTTTTTGAATATTTTAGTAGTCACCTTTAGTTACAATTAAGGCAAATACTAGATGATATTTTTGACTTTATTTTGTTTGCTTTGGGGGCAAACCATTGTCGTGGGTTTCTGTTTAACACAATGTATTAGCTCACAGGAACAAAAATAACATTGTTGTACACATTATGATGCTTGAAAACAGCAATATTCCAGCTCTGAAGATTGAGCTGCAGTGTGATGCTGCACAATCCTCTTTGGACCACTGATCTTCTGTTATTTGTGAAGTGGTCCCTTGCTGCTGTACAGCTGGGCGGCTAAATGCCTGTTCATCCGTCATTAATAAGTCATCAGTCAGTCTACAGTATCAAGGAACTGTTTAATCAGTGGGAGTGTGTCTGCATGTGGTACAGAGTGCAATGTGATAAGCCCCGTCTTCTCTCCCCCCTCCCTCTCCATGTTGCTGATGGTAACAATAAGAGAAAGGTGATAGCATTCTCTCTGCTCCCCCCCCCCGACTTCATCACTTTGCTTTCTCCCACTCCTACTCATCTCCCCGTCTTTTCTATCTCCTTTAGCCCACTCGCTGATGTTACAAGAAGGCGGTACAGCCTCCACTGAGGGCCGCCCCTGCAGCATCGTTGCGCTTTGTGGTATCATTCAACCCGAGGCAGCCCCCCCAAACATGCCTGACAAATCACAGATCTGACGGATGTTACAGAGTCAGGTTCATTTGTCGGGCTTATGTGTTGGGCTTCCATCTAAATTAGCGTTATTGTTGAAATATACAATTGTGTGTCATCGGTCCAGAAACCAAGGATAGAGAAGTAGCTTCTACAACATATTTCAACACGTTTTAGGTAAAATCTCAAATGAGTGACTTGGGTGGCAAAAAGTCACAATTATCTTGTCTCTCTTTATGTCGGACTTGACTCTTAATGCAGAATGGTTCATTCTCAGGGCAAGTAACTCAATCTCTGGATCCTCATTCTCCCAGCTGTATAGGAACCATGTTTAAATTTGAGCAGGTGAGAACAGAACAACATCAGCTGGCCGGCTTGTAAAGTTCCACTCCTCGCCTCCTGTGTGGCATCACTCTGTGGCCCTGAGGTCATGGCTCATGGGGATGGAGCCTGGTAATGGATATGACTGATGTTGTAAAGCAAGGTTCATTCTTAGGCCACACGGTGTATAGTGATGCAGAAAGACCGATCCTCCTCACAAGGAAAACATTAGATTTAATCTTAGGGTGACCTCGGGTTGGTAAATAAAGAAAAAGCAATTCTTTTTTTTTGACGTTCAGTTTAATATAGCGTGTCTATTTTTATTATGATTGTTTTATGAAATTCTCGGTAACAGTGCTTTGGAATTTGCTCTCTGAAGGAGACGCCACTTTCAAGCCGATCTCCTTGAACCAAACTTACAAAGTGCTGATGAGGCAGAGGAGTCGAGCTCTTCTGTGTTTACCTTTCAATGAAAATTCTGATATTTAGTAACAATTGTTATCTAGTGATAATTTGTAGTGTGTATATGGGGGGTAGGGTGCAGGTATGGGGGGGGTCCTTACAGGTGTGTGAGTATATTTCAGTGTGTTTTGTTTTCACCTCCACTTTGTGTGATGTAGCGCACCCATGGTAATGCCTGGTAACCGCTCTTCTCTATGATCTTCAGGTAACGTACCTAGAGAATACAGACAAAACAATAATAGTTATTTCACTCATTCATGCACACCAACATATATATATATATATATATATATATATATATATATATATATATATATCAACATATATAAAAAGCAAGAGAATGTTTTTTAATAAAAGGGTACAACCTGAATCCCAGAAACGGTGAAATAAGGGATCTCAAAGTTAACTGTGATTGGTCTCTTTGCTTCCAGCTCGTTGCTGTCCACGCTGGGAAGCTCAAAGTGCGCTCGCATCATGTACTCCTTCCCACCCTACACGTGCATGAATGGAAAAGAGAAAATGTTCAAAAGCTGTTTATTCCGAAAGAACATTTAGAGTTCACGAAGCCTCGCAGATTATAAGTTATAATCAGTCAAAGTGTGTAAATTGTTGTATGTTACATTACATTTTTCCAGCTGAGCTGTTCCCAGTTAAAACAAGTGAGAAGAGGTCAAAAAGAAACAAGTTTACAGAAACCTGTAAAGAAAAGACGCCACTGTGGATGAGTCTGTTTATCAGTCTGTTATCACAACGATCTCTGTTTCCTTGAGCCTCTATCAAACATTACAAAGTGGAGCGGAGCTCCCTGACAGAACATTTTGTGTTTTATGGTGTCCGGAGGTTGATTTTGGGAGAGACACATTTGAGTCATACATTTGCAATGCGTCACCACCAGTAATGACAATTCCTAATTCTGTGTATGAAGGTGAAATCAGTTATCAGAACTGAGACTGATACCGAGCGTGTGAACGGAAGAGCACAAAATGAAGCAATGAAATGCGCGTGTGCATCATAATTCACAATAACACTTTGGTAAAGATAAGTTAATACTTGTAGAGGGAAAATACAACTTATGTTTTTGAGGTGTCATCAGTGGTGGGAAGAAGTATTCAAAATTGTCAGTTAATTAAAAGTAGCAATAGCACAGTGCAGAAGTAAGTTTTCTCATTAACAAATGTAAAAAGGGCAAAATTATGAACATCAGAAAATCTGATTTTTATTAAATAGAAGTTGAACAAACAGCCCATCACGTGCCTCTTAACAAAGCAAGTCCAATTTGGAAAGTAAAATGTGATATTTTGTAACCACTAACCGGGAAAGACTTGATGTTCCACTCCACCGCGCTCTTCTCGGGCACCCACTTGGCGCTGCCTGTGCTGGTCTTGAACTTGGGTGAGTCAGCATCACTGGGCACTGGCACCAGAATGGACACATTATTGGCAGTGGATCGGCTCTTGAACTGACTCCGGGCCTGCAAGTGAAAGAGGACACAGTTCAAATGCCGTCTGAGGCCTTTTCAATGAAGAAATATATATATTTTTTAAAAGAGCATGACAATTCAACTTCCAAGCGAGTGGTTCTTCGTCACAATGTGCACCGTGGCTCCTTAATTTAATGGACTAAATGGACTTAATGGACTAACTAAGGACCAAACGTGTTTCACTGGAGGATGAGTGGATACAGTCGTGGGTCTCTGGATGTGTGTTTGCCTTTGTTTTTCACTCATCCTTACCTTCACCTTGATCTCCACGCGGCTGTGAGAGAACTTCTCAATCACACTCTCGATCCATATGAGAGGCTTGACCTGTCGGAGAGAGAGAGAGAGAGAGAGAAACAGTGGACAAGGTCGAAGAGGCGAGCTGAAAGAGCTGAAGTGAACATGAAGACGGCACACATCAGCGGTGACACGGTGGCCGGGAGGGAAGGAGAGAGAGATTGTGTTGGTACAAGGGAGACGATCCCTGCTCGGCTGGATGGATCACACACTGTAGGTTTCAGACAGAGGAGCCCGGCTCAAGCACCTTCTGGTCCATTGAGCAGCGCGTCAGGATGATTGGCAACATGCGGCTCAGCGGACCGACTGAACCGCGACTCATCTGGAAACTCTTCACCGTATTAACTGCCGTCGCAACGTGGCGTTTTTACACAAACGTTATTTCAAATGTGGTTATGATTTTGCAATATTTACTGAGGCAAGATATTTTGCAGTAGGACAATACTATCTACCGATGATGCACCATATAATAATGTTTTAAACATTAACCCCTAAATAAGAAAATCAAGCTTAACAAATACATGGCGATTTATCATTGATCAGAATGTCACATCTAATACGTGTTTTTAAACTTTAATGTGAGTCGAGTGCGGTGTGTGCTCCTGGTGTTTGTGCGTGGTGTGAGTCACAGAGGGACGTTTGTTTGTGTGTCCGACTCACTGTGGTGTTGAGGCGGTAGGACATGAGCTCGCTCTCGCCGTCGGGGGGGATGAAAGAGATGGTGCGGTCGTTCTCGAAGCGCGACAGACGGACGCACTGATGAAACTTCACGTCCTCCAGCTCCACTGTCTTACTTTTCTCTCCTGCCACACACACACACAAACAAACAATACACACACACGGAAATACACACACAAAAGAAAATGAATGTCTTCCACGCAGCCTTGGGGGGGAAATCAAGGTCAAGGTAATGATGACTGACAAAACATTTACTCAATCCCTCGCACATACACACCCACACAAACACAAACAATATTGTAATACACGACAGAAAGAGATGAAAAAAATAATACATTTAGTTATTGTTTTACTGTGCAATAAATCTGCTCACTACACAAATGCAGGTCACGTATGATGGTCTTATTTTGTGAAACACACCTACAGTCTTTATGCCGATGCAATGTCACCCCCACTATGGAGTATACTATTTAGTGATATGACATTCACAGTCATTTGTCACTTGAGGTTTAAAAACGTGCCGGATATCCGTCACTTTTCTAGATCGACACCAAATGATTTATTCAATTAGCGCTCGACTCATTTTCTGTTTGTTTCAAATAGCATAAGGCTGCTACAGACCTTTCCAGACAATTCCTCCAAACGATGGAGCCAGTGTGCAGCGCTGTTGAAATGGGCCTTTAGAAACGCAACCTCTGTAATGGTGGCATTTGCAGTCTGCTGGAGAAAGCCTCCGTCTCTGTGGTTAATGGTGGGTGCTGAAATGACTGAGGGCCTTTGGGCCTTCAACCAAATCCCCCACTCAACAGCGAACTTTAAGCTTGGATCACCTGCTCTGAAAGCAATCGTGGACCAGCACTGCTGGAGGGAGGACCGGTGTGTATTTACGTATGCGGCTTCCCTGTCCATTGTTCTCTCTCTCTCTCTCTCTCTCTCTCTCTCTCTCTCTCTCTCTCTCTCTCTCTCTCTCTCTCTCTCTCTCTCTCTCTCTCTCTCTCTCTCTCCGGTGTGTGTACGTGCATTGGTTTATGCATAGCTTCTTCCCACTTGCTTGTTCCTCTATTGATTATACTTCGGTGTGCGTTTGTGCGGGTGTGTCGGGTGTGTGACATTTCCTCATGCCTGGGAGGGGCCTGGCCCGAGGTCCGGTCCGGGGAGAGCAAAGCACTCTTGGACAAGCAAAGTGGGAAAGCCCTCTAGAGCATTTTCTCTCTCCTATTTCGGTTTGGCTTCATGTCAGTAGCAAACACGCCTGCATGCAGCGGTATCAAGACAACAGGAATGAAAGGTCATATGGGACACTGTTACAGCCAGGACCTCAGGGGCCCGAAGAAGAGACAGGTGTGTGTGTGTGTGTGTGTATGTACATGCCAGGTGGGGATTGAAGTTGCATCACTGTCCCCTGTGGTTCACCTTCAAGGCTGATGTAATATACAGCAGAGAGGAAACAGCTAAAATGCTAAATATTTCTTGGTTCCACCTTTTGAAATGTGTAGAGACGGGAAACGGTGCTATAATGGAAAATATCTGCATTTCGAAATAAGTCATTCAAAGATGTGACCTTGGGGCGTTTTTCAAACCTCTTAGAGATTCATCTCAGGGACATGTGACCAGATTTAGACACGGACATTTTACAAATGATCCGATATTTCAGTGAAAAGTGTTTGTCATGTCTGACTGATTTCTCAAAAGGGGCTTTTTGAGGACGAGTTTGAATGCAACTTGCATTAGATTTTTCAGTTTCGTTCATTGACAACGCTGGACTCTTTCCAGCAGAGGGCAGTGTTACATTACTTATGTCCCTTCTCACGTTTTGGAAGAAAACTCGCTGTGATAAAATGTGCTGATCTGGGATGACTGCGAAATGATATGTAAAACTGCTGAGGATGAAAGGACGAAGCATATTTTAATATTTATTTGAACAGTCAGCTCGAGTGTGTTTCTTGCTGTATCTGTCGGCGTGTAAGTTTGATCCTTATTTCAGATGATTGTTTCTGATGGGGTTTTTTCCCAGACTGCAAAACACAGCAGGGGGAAAGTGGGCTGCAAACACAGGATATCCACAGACCCTCACCTTTCATCTGCAGGCCTGTAGCCTGGGGGGGTGGGGGGATTAACTGAGAGGCAAAGAGGCTAGACAGTGATGGAGCCTTTCCCCTTCAGTAACAGTTGTAGGGGGGGAATAAATGAAGGCAGGAGAGAGGAGGGAAAAGAGGGAGATAAAATGAGGAGGGAGAAGGGGGGCTGCTGGAATAGACAAGCAGGGATGTAACAGTGGGAGACGTTATTGGAAGAAATTGGGAAAGCGGGGAAGAGAAGGAGGGGAAGGAGAGGGAGGATGAAAGCTAAGCCGAGAGAGGGGGATTTGCGAGACGGCGGTTTAGACAGAGGAAGGAGGGGAAAGTGGGAGCCTGTCGGCGAGTTCAAGGATAGTGCTCCACCATCACCCCGTAGCACCTTTACAATTAGATTTGTTGCCATTTCAGCATTACTCTACCAGGCTTTTGAAAGCAAATTCGTAAAATATCTTTAATTTAAAATGCGATAAAACGTGTTGACAGTAAATATTGTCACCAGCGGTGACATGTAGAAAATATTTAGAATATACCAAGTGCAACTGAACGGGTGGAAGGAGTCCAATTCATTTTCACTTCGCTGCCCACGTGACTCTAGCGCTTCCTCCTTTTTCAGCATTCGAGACATGTGTGACACCGAGGATGACTCACTGTTACTTACTGCCTGTTATTTCAAACAGCACTTTGTCGTTGAGGCCCAGTCTGAGTTCAGGCATCCCCGAGAGGACTACTTTCAGCTTAACGTTGCCCACGATTTCGCTCTGCAGGACGCTGCCATTCGCGCTCACCTATAGACGGAGAAAGGCACGACTTTTTAACAAGGGAAGTGTTGATTCACGCAGTGTCTATCACCTTCAGACCCGCGTGTGCACAGAGTTTACTGAAAGTACACATTCTATAGTTATACAATACAGATCAGCGGCAGCCAACTGAAAGAGTGCCAGCTTGGTGCTTGAGAAATGTAAGCGAGGTGTTGATGAGGCTGAAGAACTAGAAAGCTTCTTAAAAAGTCCTGTGTCACAGTCACAGAAAAGGAAGTGGCAACACCTCATTAGTTTCACTTTGGCTCTGAGAAACCCGCCACTGTGCGTTGAGTCGTCTGGGAGATGTTAACAATAGAAGAACGCATGTTCATGTATTCATGGCCGTTCAGTTTCTTAAGCTGCACGAGCTTGTCTGTATTCTCTGATTAGAAATATAAAATACTCCTCTAAATGAGTTCATTATGTAGCCAAATAAGATCACATGATCTCATAATCAGGGATTACACCTTTGTTTTTAGTATTGCTGAACAAAATTTGGTCAGACATTGGCCAATATAACTATAAATAACAATAGACCATTTATTTATTACATTTGAGTAAACATTGATGTTATTAGTATTCTTTTATTTCTAAAGGCAATCACTGAGTAATCAGTATTTCATACAATAATGTCTAATGTTTCACAGAGCGTGTTCAAATGATAAAATCACTTTTTGAGTATTAGTATTATTTCTGACTAATATATTTTGTCATTCAATCTTTGAACTTTGGTACCGTAAAGTCACTCCTCACTGCACACAATGGAGAAACGTAAACACCACAAAATGTTATATTGAAAAGGAATAAAAGGTTATTGTTATCAGAGACTGTTTCCTGAGCAATTCAATTCAAGGAAAGCGACTGTTTAGAGTGGAAATATGCCAGAGTTATGACAAATATACTGACGAACTCACGTGGCATCAACACAGGACATCTTTTAAAAAGTAAAAAAAGCAAACATTCCGGATACAATTATAAGATTTGCAAGTAAAAAAAAAAAATCTGGGTTGTGTGTGACTGAAAAATATGATGAAGATTGTGCTCACCAGTAGATTTACTGACTCAATGACATCCATGAAGACTTCGTTCTTCCTGTACTTGATGCCCTCTGACCGCCAGGACACGGCATTAGTGACGGTGGCTGGAGGTCTCGGAGCTCCGATATCTAATTTATGACCCTGCTGGGTGATGTACCTAAAAGAGACAACGGCACAGAAATGCAGTGACATGCGTCAAAGTGTTTTTTAATCAGTCTGTGGTCCTGCTGAGCGGGACCCCTGCATGCACGCGAGGGCAGAGTCCTCATTGAGAGGCTTCAAACAGAGATGGAATTTGCAGTTTTAAAGAAATACCCCGAGATATTTATGAACAACAACCTGGAAATTACAACACACCCATATGTTCATCACACTGCATGACTTAAAATAAATAACCAATTCTATTGCAAGAAAGTGGCTAATTATGTATGGAAGAAGATTAATCGAGGATGTGATTGGCAATTGGAGATTGATAGACATTTCTTGTGACTGAAGCCAAAGATAATATGACTTACATGCATTTGTTAGATGATACTAAAGTAAAGAAGTGTTGATTGGGTAAATGGACATCAAGCATCAAGTATATTAAAGAGGAGTAAGCAACAAGGAAATGCCACAACAGCTTTAGGGTGTGGATGTTTCTAACATTGGAACATGTCTCCCTCCTTTAACTCTACATGCATCCATTTGATCCGTTGCTGATATAATTGTATTGGTTGGTGCAATCAGTAATAAGTGTAAGTGCCCCAGCCTTAGATTTGGCAAAATACTTTGTCTCTATGGTTTTGAATACTACTACTAGTACTTTAAACATGTTTTTAGGAATATTTAGAAATATAATATAATATAATAATTATTTTTTTTATTGGGCATTTACTAAAAATAACCTTTCGACCAAAAAACAATTTCCTAAATTAACTGGGGCGGGCAATTCAACAAAACAGTAAAAGTAACAGTAAAAACGTTCTGAATTAGCACTGTGGACCTGCACTTAAACCTGGAGTAGCGGCTAATATTTACAAAATGACCGGATGTAGACGTGTGTACCTCAGATCTGCTTAACATTAACTTCCATCAATTTCCATCAAATAAAGAATGTGCGCAACTGTTTCAAACGGCTAACCTAAATAAAAAGCCACGCGTCGACAATGATCTAATCTGCGCTGTATCTAAGGCAATGTGCCGCGTCATTCTCTCTGACCTCTTTTCTTCCCCGTTTCCACCTTTTTTTAATTGTTCCTCAACTTATCTTCTACTCTAAATGCCTGAACATTTCCACCCAGAGTCAATCACATACTGACCCAATGTTCCACACAAGTCTGCTCTCCTCAAGCCCAAAGTTTCTAATAATTCCATCTACATAACTTTAAACATACACCTGTTTTGTGGTGGTTTCTATACGCAAACTGTGCCGTCTCAAAAAGATCTGTGTGTAACAAAGCGTGTGAAGTTGAAATGACACAGAGGACAAAATACTACTTTTGGAATTACATTGTGATTGTGATTTCTACAACATATTTATTTAGATGGTCCTTCTTTTCTTGACTAAATAGAGCGACAGGAATGGAATCTGTGTTCCATATGCTGTTTCTAATTTAAGAGAAGGGTTGCAGGAAGTTATTCACAGGTCAAACAGCAACGGTATTAATAATGTATCTTACTCCAGACTTGCACTGTGCTCCTGGTAACCACAAATACAAAAGTCTTGTTTTGTGACATTAATTCAACCATTCAAAGTATATGAACTCCAAATATATATAAATTATACTAAACCAGATTTCTTAATTGAAATGACTAATAACGTTCTTTCCTTCTTTTCATTGACTTTATCTAAACTTGTAATAACAGTTGTTATTAGTGCTCATTGCAACATTGACCAATCATTATCTTTTAAGTTGATATGGATCTATGGATCAGTAGTAAGTTTTGTTTCCTTTCACCAGTAAAGCCAATATTTTGGTGCTGTGCATAAAGTGCACAGTGGTCGGTACAAGTGTACGTTTCTTATCTAATGTCAATGGAAAGGAGTGCTTGATAAACACGTTTTAGATTGATTGACAGATTAAGGCTCACTGTCGTCTCTAGTTTTCTGTCCCAGTTCCTCCCACTTAGAGGTTCCTAAAGGCGTGTTGACACGCCGAAGTCTGAAGTCTGCTGAAAGATATAAAGCGGCGGCTACGGGGCTGAGGTCCACTGTGGGTTGTTTTGTTGCTCTGGTGTTTGTTCGTTTTGTTTGTGATTCTCTTTAGAAATGCTAATGAAAGGATCTTGAAGCGGGGTTTTGGTATATTAGCATAACAATGTCAATCACAACAAACACACATGCACGAAGGTTCCTACAAAGACACACACATGAACAGAGTCACATGTATCCCTGCAGTCTCACTTGCTCGCTCTTTTGCATCCTCCCACGCATGCACACAGCATGCATCACGCAGAGAGAGAGAGAGTCACAGTGCACGTCTGTATGTGTAAAGGGGCAAAAGGGGGCGCGTGCACGCGCGAGAAAGAAATGACTTCTGTGCGTCTCCTCGGAGAAGAGACGAGGTTTTCTGTCTCAGAGTCTAGAGTGTGTCCAGCTGACGGTGTCATTGTGTGTGAGTGCCAATAGGAGCCTGGTAATTATCAGCACTATTCAGACACCAAACACACACACACAGTCCGCAGCACGCAGAAAGAATCAATCACATACTCTAAGATCGCATTTTAGACATCAAAATACTAAGCGATGCATCGCAAACGTTTTAAAATATAAATTCGCCGTTAATTAGAAGGAAGGCTGATCATGTACACACAGAACCCACGTCATCATGCAAACAGAAAGTTGAGTCTTTCTCTGGAAACAAATTCCTCTCTGAGGAGCCAAATGAGGGAAAAGCACAACCACGCTGTGTACACCATGAACACAAAAACCTCTGGACATGAAGATTAATGGTTGTTCCAGTTAATTTCACTTGCTGAATAGTTGCCTCATCATCGCTTTATTTGCCGGCTGTTTTTTGTTGAAAGATGAAACAACCAATAAAGCAAAAGGCACTTCAAACTCCCGCCCATGCTGGTCTATGACAGAACTAAATAAACTGCTGTTATCTCGCTGTGAAGCTTGAATGTTTTCTTTACTGATTAATGATTCGGTGTCCATTTGAACTCATGCGGTACCATTTAAATCAGACCGAACGGCCACGAGGCAGTACGGCCTTCCGAAAGTAAAACATTAACTTAATATCAGCCGGATTGATGTAACCGTTAAAATCCCTGACTACAGTGCCAACAAACAAAAACGATTCAAGTGTTGTCAACTGTTATGTACATGAACTGTTTCTCTTTTAAGGAAATCCTTATTCTTACTCTTGTAGAATCTTGCTGTCGGTTGTCTGAGGGAAACCGAAGTCCATCACTTCGTCCATCAGCTCGTACACCGTCACAAAATTGTCCCGAATGCTCTCCTCCTCGAGCTCCTTAAAGTACTCCTTAAATACCTTCAGGACACATACAGACATAAGCAGCCGTTAAACACAGCATTTTATATCATAGCTTCTATTCAATAATCGAGTGGATTGTTTTTCATTGTGTTTTGGTGGGAAAAGTACACATTTATACCATCGGCTTCACAATGCTCAGCATCGGATAGATACTGTACAGCCACAAAAACATGAATAGGTGATAAAGTGAAGAAAAGAATAAGAGGTTAAATACCTGTACGATTTTATAAAGGAAGGAGTACACCAGGGAAGCGTTTGCATTCTTCTTTGTCATCGCCACCACTGAAGAACAGACTGTTAAGAAATAACTGTACAACTACCGAATTGACAGGAATAAGAGTGAAATATATATATATATGTGACAAACGTGCATTCTACCGCCAGTGGTTATGAGATGAAAGCAATTGAATCATACGTTTCTAAAGTGGATACAGTAAAGGTTGCTGTGTTTGATCCACAGGAAGTGTGAGGAACCACGGCTGATGAGAGGCGCCATCTCAGCCTCCTCTTCTCTCTTCATCAGCATGGGCATGAAGTGGTCAATCTCATTCATGTCCATGTTGCCCATGTAGTTACGGCAGATTAGCACCTGGACGCGCACAAACAAAATAAGAGACAGAAGACGTAACTAAATGACGAATGCCGCCCCTTCTTAACACCAACAGCAGCTAATGCAGACTTGATAATAGTTCCTGAGTTTCTAAGGTTAACACGCAAAGGGGTCGGACTAGCAGCATGGCCATGACAACACTGAAATATCTCATCAATTGCCCAAAGGTTGAGTGCGGATCCCACTGATCTCCTGACGCATCCTTCGATGCCACCATGAAAGAAAGGTTTCGAGTGAAAAAGCAACCATTATTAAAAAGAATGCCATAACATTTTGTCCATACACAGACATAACAATCTTGTCACAGTCGTTATTATTGTCTTTCACCTTCAATGAGTCAAAATATTTGGTTTAAAACAAAATAACTGCAAAACTAATTGCATTTTCATCAACCTCAACCGTACTTTGTCTTAAATGCCAATAGAGCGCTGCAAGAATGACCCATAAAACCCAGACATTAGTTAACATGTTGGGACTTCCGGTTCTCTTGTATCAAAGTCAATGGGTTTTGTTAGATGCCTGAAATAAGGTCCATGGTGAACACGAGCTGAAGACATTTCAACATTTTCACTATTGATCAAGTGTAACATGGAGGTTTACATTGTAGATGTGTGTTTCCTTACAGCCACTTTCTATTGAATACTCATCTATGTTATTGAGTCCTGGCATTTTCCAGTTGGGCTGTGAACAAAGGTCTAAAAAGAGGGAGAACCTGTTTGTAATAAAAGGTGGCTGTGGGCTTGTAAATACAGGCAGCTGGCTGTCAACGAATTCAGCCTTTCCCCAATTCTCTGGTGACCTTTTGTCTTTCGAGACTAGTGTTAACAGGAAATCTTGATATTTAATGGCTGAATGAGCAGCAACCAGCTGCAAGTTTTAGAAGAGAAGGCCTCTGTAGGTGAATCGAAGAGACTCACTGACTAAAAAGTCACAACAATCAGTGGATCAACAGAACCAGTAATACGCACATGCGATTTACACAAAAAGTGATTACCAATAAACATTTAACAGAATTGACAGAAACAAAATCCTAAAAAACTCCTGAGATTCACTTAATTTAGCCGCGAGAAGAAGACGCACACCTTCCGAATATCAAGAGGAGCACACACACACACACACGCGCGCGCAATGAAATCCGGACACAGATTGAAATGAGGAGGGAGATCAAAGCTGCTGCGCTTGAGGGATCTGGATTACACACACATGTACACAATGTCTGCCCGCTTTCTTCAAAAGAAGTCTATTGAACAGAGGTCACACAAGGGCGCACACAACAAAGGCAGGAGGAAATAAGAAATAAACAAAAAGGAAATGCCAAGAAAGTGAAGTTATCTTTGAGGGAATAAAGGATATGAACAGGCCACGGCTCGGCGTCTGTGAGACGAGACAGGGTGAAGAGTTCAAAGGTCACTAGAGACACAGAATGAGGTAAGACAAAAATGTGCAAGCCTAGAGATCCATGGAAAGATATCCAGAGATTTGGGAAGTAAACTTTGCTGAAAAAAAACATATATATGTACACGTATTAGTAATTTTGCAATTGTTGTGATACGAAGGGATTTGCTGTATTGACGAAATGTGATGTTTTTATTGTATCGGATGAGAACAAAGGGGATTTTCCACAGCTGGATTATGAGGCCTAAATGTTTAATCAATAATTGTTGAATCATTAATAAACTAATGCAATGGTTCAAAACAACATGCTCATCCACGACCCGTACAGCTCTTAATGAGCACCTAAAGAACAGAAACCGAGCATATTGGTCCAAAAGTTTCGAAGAGAAGAGCCCCGATGTCGCTAGCCGTGCACAGTAATGCGCACAAACTTGAAATGTATGAGTGGGGAGACTAGTTTCTGTACTAGCAGGACTGCAGGGAATCACAGGGACACCTTATGAAAAAGAAGTCACACATTTGTTGTTAACTGCTCCATTATGCTGCTCATTGTCACTCTGCTGATTTGTGTTTTTCTTCCAGAGAGCTGATTTCTGGATGTGAGGATGACAGTGAGTAGTTATTCACATCGCATCCATTGACTTTACATCGTGAATGAGGCTGCAAGCTGTGACGAATATGGCTTTGCTGCAATCACAACGGTTGTTCTACCTACAGGATATTTAAGAGTCAACACATCATTGACCTTTCGTCAGCTGGTTTGAATGTGTGTCAGTTACACACCTGTTTTGAAAAGGAAAACATCAGATAGCGTTGTTTACTCAGCAGAGGCAGAAACTCTTCAAACAGAAACACCTCACACCAACAGTTAGAGTATTTTAAGCCGAGCGCAGCTACTCAATAATCCAGGTCTCATTACATTCTACTGTGTCTTAAGACACCGTACTGTGTAATATATACTTCCCTCCATTGGGCTGATTGTGTATAGCTCAGAAGTTTTGTGTAACAACAAGTAAAGGTGTAATAGAATGAGGGTTGCAAAGGGGCGGAAGATTTCCGGGAACTTTCCATGCAAAGTTTTTTTACAGTTCCTTACAGACCTTTTACAGCAGTGAGAGTAGGATGTGTCCACACACCAAGTACACCATCACCTGCATTATTCACGGCGGTTGGGGTCCATTCAAAAAGCGCGAGTTGGGCAACTTATCATAAATAAAAGTAATTACTGCAAATAAAAGGCTGAGCAATAAAAAAATCATTCAAAACTATATTTCAAAGACGTATGGAATGCAGCACATGCTGTGTTTCTTTACAAATGATGTAGCGAGCTATTATTGCTGTTACCCGACGTGATCAAATACGGCAAATGAAAGTATTCCTCCATCACATGTGCAGGGCATTCTTCCATCACATCCACCCTACAGCAGGGCTATTGAGGCCACATTACTGACAAGGTAAACGCAGTTAAATTACCCCCAAATTTACAGCGTATTCTTTTTAATTACTGAATATTCCCGTTATTCCCATACATATTCCATTTCACTCTAATGTTGAGGAATGTGCACTGTTCCTGCAAAACAAATGAACTGAAAATAGAAAAACATGAATTGTTGGACGATTACTGCATGTCTAAACTGTTAAATAGCACACTTTTATGCTTGTAGCTTATGAAATATGCTGCTCGCTCTCATTACAACCCCCAAATCTTGCTGGGAACAAATGATGCCACGCTGACTTCAAGGGAGGAAGTGGAAACTTGTTCTCTTGTAGTAGATTTTTAATTAGAGTACTGCAGCTGATCAGGACTAGAATGGAAAGGAAGGTAGAGAGCTGCTGAATTGCCGCAGGGCACAGACAGATTGAACACATTGAATCCACACAATCACACATGCAGGCTATGAAGGATCGATCCTTTGCCCCGATGGGTATAATTAGGCTTACGGCTTCTTCATGCTTTTCACGTGTAAAACCGGATTAATAGGGAAGAAGTAGTTCAAATGCAAGTGTTTTTAGTTTCTTCTATTCGCCCTATAACGCAGAATACATCGAACAATTCAAGTTCATTTCAGAAAATGTTATTTTTCTAATACTATTGATGACAAAACTGAGGATTGTCTTCCTTTCCATTAAACTATCTGTTATTTTCTAAATGTATAGACAAGGCAATAAATATTCTAATTGTTTGTTTTGTCAGTAACAGCTCATAAGCTTAGTAAAAATACATGACATGAATTGATGGTTGATGAATCGTTAGTAAGCGAATCTGTAACACAACTAATGCGGAGGCTTCTGAAGGTGAACTCAACACCGTTGAGTGTTAAACGGCTGCTTTGGACAAAACAAGCCGCTTTCTTTCCGACACCGACGAGAATGATGGACGGATTAGTGGTTGTTCTGTTTGATTATTACGCTCTCAACGACGTTTAGCGTTGAGAGCGTTTAGCAAAGATGTTAAAATCCCCCCCCCCAACACTCCACAAAAAAAGATTTAAGAGTGGGAGCAAGTGGGCGCACAAGTAAAATATATATAAAGAGGCACCTTTTTATTTTTTGGGAACACCAATATAGTGAAAGTTTGCGGGTTTGAAAAAAAAACAAGGAGGGGGTGCCCGCGAAAAGAGAGGGCAACAAACACTCTCTCGCGCGAGAGCGCTCTCGGAAGAAGGGGGTGGTCTTCCCACAGGGAGCGCCTCTCCCCGTAAAAAAAGGGGTTAGAATATAAAAGGGGTACACGTGGCCACAGAGGGTGTTGTGTTCTTAAAGCCCCGATGGCAACTTTACCAACAACAAGTCGCCACAAAAGTTCGCCTCACCTTTCCCTTCAGGTCGAGGATAAATATTGCCGACGCCGACATCTTGGTGGAGAACGGTCCTCGAGGTGGAACAGCTAAATGATGTGAGTCTGCAGTCAGATGCGGGGTCACTCAAAGGGGATACGCTCCCATCACCCTTCTTCCTCCTCCTCTCCTCCTCCTCTCTCTTCAGTCGCTGCGTTTCTTTTCGACTCGCTGCGGAAGCATCAAGTTAGCTGTTGTAAACTGAGCGGTAACTTCCTGCGGTTAGTGACACATCTTAATTCACCCAACATTACCAATAGTGTAAAGTAAGCCAACACACACACACACACACACACACACACTGGTGTTTATGTTGTATCCAATAGCCCATGTTTAATGTATTTAAGTAGCTACTACCCAACAGTATGCAGTTAAAAGTGTGTTAAGTTCAATCTTAACATTTTGAAATTCAATTTGAGTTATGAGTAACAATAGTGGAAATCAAATAGCCTAGTCATTCTCTAGTAAAATAACTTTTCTAGAGTCCAAACTATAAGTCTACATTTTACGAGAAGTCTGATAATGCAGACATTGTACTTGGAATGAAGCACTATTTTTATACTGCTGTTATTACCAGGTAGGTTATCTGTGCCTACTTAAAGGGTCTCAACACTACGCCTTCCACTTTAAAACGTTCACGTTATAAAATCCAGCTGTAGAATGTAATCCCTTTAGTATGTTAACACTAAAGTGGTGGGTTTATTATTATGAATAATCCTTCGACAAGAGCACATTTAGCGATCGTCTTCAAAACATTATCTTTAAAACTATCGGCAATAGTAGTCCTATTGTTATCCATAATAATACATCATAATGCATTTCGTTTGTATTATTAATTGCTTGTTTAATGTGTAGTTGAGTAAAAGCATCAATTGTACATTACTTCATCTACTTACTTAGTTAAACTGCCAATTAAACTGGATTTATACGAACCCCGATACGAATATTGTTCTTTTATTTTGAAGGCAGCGTCAGTGTTGTTCCGGTTTCGCTTTGCCTCGTTTGCGTGAGCTTGACGCGCCGTGTTTCCGGGTTAGAAGCCTCGCCTGGCAGCCTCACCGGACCTGTCAGACCGCTCTTATCAGCTGGACGGTCTCTTTGGGAGACTCAGTGTCACCAGTAATCCCGCTTGTTGATACCAGTGTGGTCAAGGTTTAAAACCAGAGGTAAGTGTGCTGTGTCTAGTTGTAAAAAAACAACGAGGCCAAAAAAACAGTACTTGAACCCTGCAGACAATCCAGGCACTGATGTTTCTCGATCGTATTGAGCTCGCGCAGTTTCCCATGTGGGACCCGACCACGTGATGAGTAGGCCTGTACAGTCAGAATGAAGAGCTAAATTTTAACACCACAAAACATTATCATCCTGAAAATAGCAGCCGAGTGAAGATAACACATTAAAAGTGGTGCATTTACTAAATTTGAGTCAGCCTGCATTTTATTATTTAGCAGTAGTTGTATCCTGTTTAAAACAAATGTTAAAGGCGCGTTGTGCTTCCCAGCAAATAGAAAAATCGTACACTGATGCTCTTAACACAAAAGAAAAGACATAACATTAATTTAGCTTGTCTGTTTACGACTACGAAAGCTCACTTATGAAGGAAAAGATGGGCAGCACTTTCCGCAGCATCACACTATCCGTGTGTTGCTTATTTGCTCTAAATAGCACTTCATACAATGTGAAAACACTCGAATAAGCTTCCAACCAAATTTCAAATTGATCTTCGATGGCGTCATACAGTCATCTATACTTCTGATTGTGCGTCACTGAGAGATGTACATTGAAATGTCCCTGTTCATATTCAGTACATATGTTGTTACTAATCGTACACATTTCTTGCTGTCAAATCAAGTAATCGTTCAACCAAAGGTAGAACGGCAGCTAGTTTCTGTCCATATTTACAAAAATGACATATGTTAATATTGAGAACTGCTGGCTTAATAATGTACCTTGCATTGAGTCTTAAAATGACAACACCCTCGTGCACTGGTATTCACATGCTAGGCTGCTAAGCGATGGAAAACTCAATTTCATCCATCTCCTCCTCCGTGTCCTCCAAGTCCTCCAAGTCCTCCAAGTCCTCCATGTCCTCCATGTTCTCCGCTGCTCTTTCGGCTCTCGCTCTCTCGCTGGCCGGAATGTAGTTGTCCTCGATGAAGCCGTCGTCGTCTTCCTCGCTCACGGGAGGGACGCGGTGAGGGTTGATCCCACGTGCCCCGTGCACGTCAAATTCCACCTCCAGCCCTGGAAGCAACAAGAGTTATGAGGCATGACAACCATCTAAAGGCAAGTCCGATATGTCATTCTAACTGAAAGAATCATCAGTCTTTATCCACCCGTCCATTATTTAACGGCTTACAGGGTGAGATGGGGGGGGGCGATCAAAGCCGAATGAAGAATGAAAGCTGTCACAATTCCAGCCCGTTGACAAATGAGCTGGAATTTCTATGAAAATCTTATTTTCAAAAGAGCCTTTATAATTATAACAGTTTCCTCAAGGCACCAGCAGAGAGAGTCTTATTCTTATTGAAATGTTTGGATAGTAAAACAAAAGCATTGCAGATCTCATATGAGAGCTCATGCTGAAAACAAAACGACATTAACATATTATGAAGACCACAACCTGATGGGTCGCATTGGCTGATGGTGTCTGTCTCCCTCAGCCGCGTGTGCCTGTAGCTGTCCAGATAGCGCCGGATCACCTGGCATTTAGCTATGAGGGCGATAACAATGGAGATGGAGATGGCCGTGACCAGGACAGCCACCAGGAACTCCCAGTTGTGAGATTTACTCGTTGGCAGCGTTGGCGACGTGCCTGCAAGAGAGAGAGAGAGAGAGAGAGAGAGAGAGAGAGATGAATCACGAATCACAGCCGCGTCATTGTGGAAAGAACATTAATAACCAAGTTTAGGCTTAAAGGCCTCAAACCAGGTGGGCCGTAAGATAGCTGTGTTTACCAAAAAAAAAAAATATATATATACACATATGTATACCAAGATTTAGACTAAATTGGGGAGACTCCACGTAGCTTACACTTTTCTAAAGATAGATGAATTGTTTGACGTTGCGCTCGTAACTGAATTCCTACCATTGTCTGTTGCTGTTGGAGCAGCTGTGGAGAGCATTCTATTGGATGGCGGTTCCCTCTGGCTTTGCTCTTGTTTGTGCAGCCTGTTTTGGGGATTGACTTCTCCTGTGTGGCCCAATTTCCTCCTCGTTGGCTGCTCTGGCTTTCGGGCAGCATCAGCATCAGCTCTAGCACGAAGCCACGGAGCAGGGCCGCATATCACACGCGTGTCAGTCAAAGGGACGGCGCTTGTGAGCTGCTCGTTTAAAGCCCCTTTGAACTCCCGTCACTGATGCCGGAGAAGAGCTTTTAATTTCTTGTTTGGAAATGTGCAGAGGCGCTCAGTGCTGTTCTGTCTTCAGTGGGAGGGGGGGAAACGGATGGGATCAGAGGGCCGTGTTGCAGCGCAGGCATTTCCCCAAATGAGGGAGGTAGTCGTCTGGAAGGCTGCTGCCGACCGGCAGGGAGTTGAACCTTCAAAGTTCCACTAGGTGGCGAGGTTGAGTGACAGGCGACGCCTTGGTTCAGTAACAACTGGACTGCGGTGGCAGCATTGTCGTTGTGAAATGTGAGCCCGCGTCCTGCCTTCAGTCGAATAAGGGCCTTAGAAAAAGAGTGGAACAGAAATGGTGAGTTGATTCAATATGAATCACAATTACTAAAAAAACAGAGGCAACTTGCAAAAGAAAAGGAAAAGGTTTTCAGTTGAATACAGTTTCGGTAAACTGCTGTGCCCCATATCCCACTTGCATAATGGCTTTGAATTATTTTGGAAACTTTGTGCCAGTAAATGCATATTTTATAACTGAACCACACAAAAAGAACTTGGAAGAAAATGACCTAAATATCTCCCTTAGAATGTAGGAAGAGTGAGAGTGTCATCGCGAAAAGGATCCGCTGCCTGGATCCTTTGTATGCAGAAGTCATAATGGAGTACAAGCCGTCGGGAGCTCGGGAGGATATCGTCCACAACAGGAACAGTGTGGCACAAACAGGAAGTCCCACATACTAACCTTCCTCTGCGGGTCGAGCTGACACAAAAGCACTGGTAAATAATTGCGTGTTTGTGAGGGAAAGAATCTGACAGTTCGCATCAGCACAAAGGGGCTTTAAACTGCCGAAACTCAAATATTGCTGCCATTTGTAGTCCACTTCTATTTTGAGTCCGTAATCTACTTTGCAGTTGTACGGCTCATAATAACAATTGTGCAAATGATGTGTTTTCTCATTCGTCGTTGAGCTTCTAACTAGTGTTGTAAACCAAATTGTCAATATATCAAGTATCAGACAACGCTTCCTACAATAAAGGAGCAATATATTTAATGACGGGCAAAGGGCAATACAACGATCGGACATTATTTGTTTGCAGCCACCGACATGGCTAATACGTCAATTGAAAGCAAATATAAATACACTCATGAACATCATTGGTAGAGCAGTCACGAGGAACCTGAAGCTTGCAGCAAGTGTTGCTTTGCCTGTTCCCAGCCTGGAATGAGTGACCCTCTAACATTTGTGAAAGATGCATCTTTCTTTTTGTATCCTGCCTCTCGTTTCATTTATCATGTTAGGTGTAGGCACAGTTCAACATTTCTAAAATGTTGCTTATATGCTTCATGCTGTGAGTTGGATGAGAGTATTGATGACACTCTCAGGAATGCAAATGAAACATACACAGTTAGTGGAACTTGGACTTGGCTCTTTCCAAACTAATTCTGCTAACCGGCACTTTTTGGGGGTTTGTTTAAACCTCAGTCTTAATAATTAGAACATGTTTTCTTCTCTTCAAAATTTGGTTAGATTATGTTGCAGTGCAGATAAAGACCTCTCTCTCTCCACCTTTAACAATCAACACTTTGAATGATGAAGGCACTTGCAAATGACAAGCAAGTACAACATGTAAACCACACGTTTGAGCTCCATTTCAAGATCTCATTAAAGTTTTTGTTTTTCTCAATGTACCAACATAATGGCAACAAAGAAGATTCAGGGCGGATAATATAATAACAACTTCTTCTTTTTAATCAATCCCTAAACTAAAAAAAGCAATCTGGTTTAAATTGAATTTGAACACTGTCGCTAATCTTTTTCAGAAGATCTTTATCTATCGAGGGAACCATGAAGTGCATCTTTGGAAGGATGAGAAAAGCCACGAGACTCGTACAGTGACTGTGTGTCAGTGTTGGCTGTAAATACACCGACAGCCGACCTCGTCTCTTCCTGTTGTGTCCTCATGCAAAGCACAACAAAATATACAAACCTAACAGCAGCGGCCGGGGAGTCAAAGGAGAGAAGGCTGGGAGAGCGCTCTGTATGTCAGACGCAGAGTCTTCTGTTTGTATGAGAACGTGCACGAGGCGTCATTTGCATCTCTGCCTGCCCTCGACTGCATTTGAATATCATTCTCAAAGGGAGAAGTCAGTTTTTCTTTGTCATTCTTTGTTGCAGAGCCCCCAATTATGGGTGCAGTGTCAGTTTATAGACACTAATGATGGCCAGAGGGAGCGTAAATATTGTTTCTGTCATCAAACTGAATTAAACATAAAAATTAGATTCTTCTCTTTGAGTGGAATAACATTCCTTTTCAACGGGAAAAATAACTTTTAACATTTCAGGGTTTGAAATTTCAGTAAACTTTGAGGACATTGTACTTTTTGTGAGTTCTGTGAACCTTTCATACATTACAATACATATTGAATCACAATTGAGAAGTATATATTTGGCTATTCACTCCATAACTACGGTTATTATTACACATTTGTGGGATGTTGTGGCCTCTTGTTATACAGCCAATAACACATTTCCTTATAAACGTCTCCGATGGGTTTTTAATCATCCCCTAAGATTTACGACCAGCTGCAGAAAGTCCAACCACTAATCTGGGAGTCATTTGACTAAATGAAGAAATTCCACTTTTAAAAGTCCATTTTGAGAACCGCTCACACAACATTGCCATTGGCTTCAGATTACAAATCGTGTTTAACCAAGCAAACATCTCCCTCGCTGGCTTATCGGGCATATTCCTCCACACCATGGAAAATCCAAGAGACGCCCTTCTGTCGACCCTCAACCCAGCAACGCACGGAGCACCTTGCAGCAGGCCTCCTGCTTATTCCACTGCCAAGACCTGTGCTCCTGTCCTGCTCTGATGTGTGGAGGAGTCGGGCTGCGCTGTGCTATTGTTTGTCAGGGATAACGGCAAAGGTCAGCTGTCTGAGACGTGGTTTATGAGCCTGGTTATTAAACTCGCACACAATCATGCTCACACATCTGATTGAGAATTCAACTGTTTTTTTTTTACCTTTGTATGTTCAATTGAAGCGAGGTTATAGTAGTTAAAGTGGAATATCCTCAAATGCCATGTTTGTTTGTTTTTGCCGTTCAGCTCCCGGAGTAATGGCGGTGTCAACAGAGAAAGCGGACATTAAAAGCGTGATTGACGTTGAGCCAACTAAACGACGTACTAACTTCCATCACGAGCATGGCTCCTTTTATAAGATATATACTTTTACTCTGAATGTGTACTTAAAGAGTGCCCAGATAATGAGAACATACTGTTATGGGTGGAAACGCCAAGTCGCCGACAGGTGCAGGAAGAGGCGGAAAACACTTTGGTCGTATGTTTTCTGAGAAACAATCATATCATAACCTGCATTTCATAAGCTCACCCATGTCCCAACAAGCCAGTCAAGACCTTTGTGTGATCTCTGCAGACGCCTGTGGACCGCAGGTTCCCCCCTTTTCACAAGAGCAGCTGTTCATTTCCAGTCTTACCTGTGGTCACCTGCCCGTGGTTTCTTCTAGCTTCAGCCCAAGTTCACACCTCGACTGTCCGCTCCCACAGCTTTTTTTTGAGTTTCTTCCCTTTTTGCTTTCCCTGTGGAATGGAGAAATGTAGTGCAAAGGTGGAACGAGGTGTGCTCTGCAGTAGCTTCCTGGAGGGACATGTTAATGAGTAACTTTGTAACTAAGGTGTACTACCCCCCTCCCACTGCCTCTATCTCTGGCCAATGGCACAGCAAACCTGGTCAGGGGCAATGTTGACACTCAGCGGTGCCAAACCAGGAGGAGTTAAAATATGACTTATGAGCAGTGAGTCATGTTTTAAATGAATTCTAACAGGTATTTACAAGGGAATCTGTAAGCAACCAGTCAAACCTGCTTTCGAAAAGCAAACAGCGTTTTCAAATAATATCGCTGGACATCTGCTTGGTGTGGCTTTTAACTCTTGAAGTGTAGTTTGATTCGTATGCCTGCCATGAGCCACACCCCGCTTTGTTGATTCTAAAGTATAAACTCTTCCCTCAGCCCTTCTCCGATGGGGGTGGAAAGCAGACAAGATACAGTCTGTGGCAACAAGGCGTTCTTGTTTGTTTAAAACACGCAACCCGAGGGAGAGAACAGACCTCTGGGTGCTCTGAAAGGAAAAGCGAGGTGACCCTGAAAACAATAGGGCCACTTCCTGGCCGCTCTGCATCTTTATATCTCCCTCGCTTACTCCTCCTTCCCTTCCTCCACATGTTCCAGGATGTTTCAGCTGCGCGTCTTGGGACAGATGGCAGGGCCGAAGTGAAATAATAACTGGGTAATAATAATAATCAGCTGGAAGAAACATTAAGGGATTTCCACCACGTAAACTAGGGTCTGTTTGGCTGCTGCATATATTCATGCCATGCCTTTTCTCTTCAGCATCTATTAGACATGATTATTGGTAGTAAATATAATACTTTGTGTCGATTTATTTTGGGTTAATTCGGTAATTGCGGTAAAGACATTGACTTAAATTGGGATTGGAACAAGGAGTGTATGTTAAACATGTGTTAGCTCATTTATTGAACACTCGGGGGCAGCAAAAACAAGCTGTTATCACAAAAAACTCAATGAAGCTTTTCCTATTCTTAGTAAAAAGTTGCTAATTTACAGCTTTGTATAAAGAGTAGAGAATAAGTTGTACACCAGCAGCTTGCTGGTGCTGCTTCTAGCTCTATTTTTGGCTCCAGCAACTCATGAGAGTAAATGCTACACACTGTACTTGGTAAGAAAAGGTGTATCTTTAAAATGTATGGATAACAAGTGAGAATGATCTTGAACACAAACAAAACTACATCCACATAGCTGTGATGAGTCCTATCAGAGAAGTATTTTATCCACAATTTCCCTAAAATGTAACAATTTGGATACATATTTCATCGCAAATGTTTTGATGGTAATGTCTTCAGACAAACATAGACAAGTTATTTACTGACCCTAGTGGAGCAATAATACCAATCTGGATAAGACTTTTGGGGGAGACAGGGGGCTTTCCACCCTTTTTCTACCATGGGATGTTTACTGTTTGTCCTCTCAGTGAAGTGCTGAAGGAGGAGTCTGATGTTCAAGGCCGCTTCTGTGGTCAAGATGTGGCGCCCTTGTGAAGTCCTTTTAAGAGGAGGGAAATAACAACACGTGTCGCACTGTACATAACAATGGAAAGTCTGTTAAGGATGATGTATCTGACACACCTGAGACGCTCTGCAGGCTCAAATGATTGTTTTCTCCCCTCTTACAAAAGTTCCTGCTGCAGCCTTTGTGATGTGCATCCACAAAGTGTACATTTTACAAGGTGACAGCTGCAAATTGTGCACATTTGTGTGAGTTTGTAAGTCCATATGTAAGTTACGTTTAGCAATATGATGGTATGAGTAAGGCTGTCTGCACATCTGCATTAAATCTGTTAATGAAACAGCTGGAGTTTTATTTAAAGCCAGCATTATTCCCATTAGAATTCCTGCAATGAGTTGTCTCCTCCTTTCCCTTCGTGTTGTTGCTGTGATCAGCCGCTTTCATCATTTAGCTTATTTCATTTTCATCTAATTGAATCTCGTGTCAGATTCTTTTAAACCAACCGGCAGTGGGGAGAGTTTGTATTTGTTTGGCTTGAGTTTCTGCCACGTTTTGCAGGCATACAACTGTACATAAAGAAGAAATGGATATTACTAGTCTGAGTTTCTCTCTTTAACTGTGGGCATTTATTTAGTTTGACATTTTACTCTTCAAGGGGGATGAAAGTGAGGTGCAACTTAAAGCTGGATACCAAAAGTATTTGGATCCATGTGTAATTACCTGAATGCTTCCCCAGTGAGGTAAATGATTTATCCAAATAGCGTGTTAATCAGCAGTCTGAATTATTCTGCGGGTTGTTTTGGACGTCATGGTTCTGTCAACGCACTCTAAAACACATAGCTGCTTTAAGAATATTAGCTAAGCGCTGTGTTGCACCACTGCCTGGTTACTGCAGATCTTAGGGGAGAGAACTTGGGGAGATTGATGCAAAAGCCAGTTTTGATAAGATCCAACTGTGCACGTTTCTCCTGGTGAATGCTGTGAGAATATTTATGTGCAGAGGGAGAGTGTTGCATGATTCAGTAACAGTTGAGCGAGGAATTTGTGCTTCAAATTCCTCATATGGTGGTGATAATGACTCGGTATGAATGACTTAGTAATAGTACTTTTTCAGAAGAGATCTGGGCTCCCTCCACAGGGGTTCAGTCTGCATTTCGAGTTGGCTTTAAACCAACATAAACATTTTGCTGTTTGCTACTTTTAAATTACTAGATGAATCCATTCTCATGTGTTTGGGATTTAAGACAAGCTATGTCTACAAATGCTGGGTGGGTCAATGCAGGAATCTAGTCCATAACGCGCAAACTCTAAAATATCTGCATGTAAAGAGGCCGTTCACAGAGCCTAAAAAAGCCATCTGTCAATACCTAATCTCTTTAACAAATGCCTTTGAACAATTATTCCCAATTGAATCCCAAAGAATGTTGCATGAATCTCCCACAGGGCTGGCACTTAGAAAAACTATTGTTTGAACAGGGGCACTGTGGCCCTTAAGGAAAATGTTGTAAAGCAAACCCTCCAGTGAGTTCAGGTACTGCATGTGCTTTGCTGATCCACCTCCTCTCTCCTTCTGTGCCCTTCGTGCTCGCCGGCTGATGAGGAACGACTGCAGAACTGCGCCACCACGTCTGTGTGTTTTTAGTCGGTGTGCGTTCAGCAAACAGCTATCAGACAGGAGCCGAGAGCCTCCACCGCCTCCACAGGCCTTTTCCTGTCTGTAGGGTGATTCCTGCCCCTGCGTCCCCTCCACTTCCTTCACACACATATCAGCCTGCAGCAGCAGCACCTCTTCCTGAATCTGCCTCAAGTTCTCTGGACACTGTGGACAGGCAACAACAGCTCATCCATCTCTCTTTGTCCATCTCTATGTCCATGCTTTCTTCAAATGCACTGGCCAATATTGATTGTATCATCTCAATATATTATCTGACATCATGTCCCCAGGTAATACAACGTTAAATTGTTCTTCAGGGGCTTCTGCGATTATCGTTTTAAAGCACAAAATTTCTACCCTTGCATTTTTCTGCCTTTCAGCACATCACTCCCAGGGTGTTATCTAACTTCCTTAGACACGCCTGCAATATCCCTGACACGCTGGCTGGATTGAGGATCACTCCCTTTCCACAATTTCCTTGAAATGCGTGTTCCGATGGGACAGACACTCTTTATAATTAGGATGTTTCATGGCGATGAAAAAAAGACAGACAGATGTTCCAATGTTTAGTAGAAGGAAAAGAAACATGTTTTTGGCTGTCGTCATGACAAAGTGAGGTTTGCTTTTACTTTTCGTCTTGCCGAGTGTGCTGACTGTCTGAAATCATGTTATCCGCTGTGATCCTACACTGGAGGAAGCCTTTTCACATTAGACCCACTCCTAGTGGTGTTATGATTAGGGCTTCCTTCCAAAACACCAGTAATGAGGTGTGTGTAAGTGTGTCTGCAGTACTTTTGAGAGGTCGGTAGTGGAAATAACATCGGCACCCATCAACATCCCTCCCTGCAGGGAGGGTTCGCTTGGTGTCAGGGTGAAAGGTCGCCCTGCTCTGCATCTGGTGACGGACCCAGATCACCACATCCCCGTGCTCGGTTCCCCCGGCCTCACCGCAGGGGGCAGATTGGGAGACTAAGAGGTTGAGGCGGGGGCATATATATTTTTTTCCAGTGTGGAACTGATGAACAGACAGAAAGAACACCTTTAGTAACAAGTAACTTTACACCAATTACATTTGTGTTTGATCATAAGTGTGATTGAGAGACTGTGTAGAATCCACACATATGAGAGAAAATATTCAATGTAACACAAACCAGCTGCTACACAGTAGTTGTTGTGTGGTTGAGTGATAAACTGAATAAAAAGTTTCGCTGTTACGGCCGTATATGTGGGATTTTGTTTATATGTTGAAGTGGCATGGTTTGATGCGCAGTTATGGAGTCATTGATATTCTTATTGTCATACAAGTAAACCGGTAAACTATTCACCCAACGATTAATCCCAGGAACTTTTTGATTGCCAATTTAAAAGAGAAAATTATTGGCTTTTTTTCCTATATGCGTCTTAAGATGGAGCTTGGGAGAGAGTGTGTGTGGTGTTTGCAATCTTGTGGCTTTTTGAAACACATTCACACCTCTAAGACCAATAATATACAATAACGTATGGTATTTCAAAATCGATGCCTGTATCGCTGTCTTTTATCATCTTTCACACGAACATTCGTGTTATCCCGCTCTGAGGTCTCTAAGGGTCTCCTCCATCCTTGTGAAGGATTCCTTTATCAGACAACATGAGGTAACTCGGGGCGGAGCAGGTCAGGGGTTTGTAAGTGCAGTTTGGGGAAAAAAGTGAGGGGTGGTTAGGTGGTTAAAGAGTTAGGTGGCCTAGGAGGTGTGAGTGACAGCCTCGCTTTGGCTCCCAGGGCCCAGAAGGATCAGTGCGTGTGGAGCCGGGCCAGTTCGCCACACAATGAGAGGAAATGGGAATTTAATGCAAACTTTCTCACACAGTCTCGGAGACCTCCCGCCTCTGTTGCCGGTCTCACTTCCAGACACCCCCATCTTTGCCATCACCACCTCCACTGCAACCACAACAAAATGTCAGACATCACTCAAATATGCCTGGGAGCATGCTGGTATAAACGATTTGACACAACTTTGGCGGTATTTCCCCGCAATAACTTTTCCGAATGGAATTTGTGAATAATGATGCTGAAGAGTAGATTCTGTAATTCCAGTAGATAAGGACTAAAATATCACAGACAAGCTGATACACTGATAGCATAGCTCAACTAATTGTCAACAAAATGTACGATAGCATTGTTTCAATCTTAAGTCATGTGTTTTATTTCATTGTTGCCTTTTGGTCATAGTAATTCAAAAGCAATCAAACAGTAAACACACACACAAACACACACACACACACACCTTTGAAAGGAACCACATGATTGCTCTTTTGTCGCAAGCTGAACAACAGCACGTCCTTTTTTTCAAATTATTCGTAGGGTTGAAAAAGAAGCAAGACTGTGCTTTTTCCATTTGGCCAGTGAGCCTGATCTTTGTGTCATAGTGTCATGAAGCAAGCGCTGGTCACTTGAACAACAAACACAGTTCATAATTACTGCAGGCCAACAAAGGCTTTTGTACACAATGGCTAATGGTCTGAGCGTCCTCCACCCTCCACGTGCAGAATCATTTCCTCACACACACACACACACACACACACACACACACACACACACACACACACACACACACACACACACACACACACACACACACACACACACACACACAAAGTATTCTGTATAAACACATACGCTAGTTTCACATCAATGCACCATAATATACAAATGCACACATTCACACAAAACCACCCGTGGTGTCTGGCTCCTGATTGTCTTAATGCAGCCAGAGGCAGAAGCGTCCGTGTTGACCTAGCCTTTGGTCTTTTTCCTTTTGGCTTCCTATGGCGGCTCCACCAAGCTGAGAGATCGGCCTGCAGCACTTTTCAATCTCTTCTCTACTTGCACTCCTTCCTTTGCTTTCCTCCTCATTTGATGATGTTTTTGTGTTGTCAATACACTTCTGATTAAACTTCAGGTACAGAATCTATAAGATTCTGCTAAACCTAAAAAAAATGTCTTTGGAAAATTGCTTAATTATGTGCAAGACTAGTTTTAAAGTAGTTTTAAAGTCCGCTTTGTTGCTTGCAAATAGTTTTATTGTAAACGTTTGGTCGCTGAACATAAGTGCACATGTGCTGCAACCATAACTGTGCCGTTAGCAGTGTGCTCTTGGCAGTACAGTTTCATTGTTCTCACTGCGAAGGCCATTCCTGTCAGTTTTTGAAGTGTGACAGGAAATAACATTGCCTTTTAAAAGAAATTGTTCTGACTTTTGAGCTCGACAGGTAATACTGACAGATTAAAGGGACAATAAATATGTCTGACGCAAAACCCTTTGTTTTCCAAGAGTCAAAATGGAAACACTTTCATTTATAGATAAAATAGCTCCAACTTGGGTGTATACATTACATTTTTAATGATCCATTTTTCCCTTTACTAAATGAAACAGCATCGTTGTTGTTTTCAGTCTTTCTCTTGTGTGCACTATTTGTCCTTATATTCTTTTTCATAATGGACATAAATGTGCCCACACTTATAATAATAATAATAATTATTATTATTATTATTTAACTGTATTCTATATTTTTTCAGATAATCAAGCACAGCATAGAATATTCCTTGCAAACCAAAACACGTTTTGAACTCTTGCAATCCCAAACAGGATACCTCAAACAATAAGGAGTTGAGTCAACCTCAAGTCGATTGTCTGAAGTTGTGAGGAAATGTAAAGAAAACATCAAATCTGTCCACAGTTTTTATGGAGAAAATGAGAAAAGGAATGGGCAGTTTTTTTTAACTGGATGTTTTAAAGCGAGACAGTGTGGTACTTTTTCAAGATTGGGCCAGAAGTGGCAGAATAGACACAACAATCATATTGTTCAAAATGTCCTTAGGCTGACTGATTTTAACAGTGAGGGGAAGATGGGAGGTTACAAGGATTGTAACTAACTTACTGAAGTGAAAGAACAAAGCTGTTGGCAGAACATAAACAGCTGCTGCTGCATTGGCTTTTCTACAGTGTCTTAACAAAGAAAGTCAGGGCTGTCATAAAACACAATGTCAGCTGGAGGACACATGGGCCAGAGTATTGCCCGCAAAAATGCAAATGAAGTATCAAGAGTATTTTGGTGGTGTACAAGTATCATCAAGTGGTGGTTCTACTTTGATGGAATGCAGTTTGACATTTTCCCAAAACGTCTCACGTTAAATCTGTGTCTGACTTGCGCAAAAATCCTGGTGCCACATGTTTTCCAACACGGACTGTCTCTCAAGACATAACTAGGTTATTCCAGAAATACAAAGAAACAATAAATATTACAATAAATATGTCAACGTGTTAGCCAATATAGTTAATACTATCCTATCGGTAACTTGAGTATCATGTCAACATATTACAGAACGTATGCTGGGACGACATCAGTCGGAATGGGGAGGTCTGCAGCGCCAGCTTGGTGCGCTGCTTGGTGACGCTCTTCCTTCCTTTCCCCACCCAAAGAGAAAGTTGGACATTACTGAAGGACTAACTCTGTGCTTACGTCGACGGGCCGTTCTTGGCGTCTCTGAAAGCTAAACTGGACCGCTGTCGTGATTGAAACTGGAGGTCTGTTTGATTCGCCGAGATATGCGTAAAAAGGCCGCACCGCTCGTCGTGCCCAAGCGTCACCGTTTTGGGATGTACAACTCGTAAACGCGTAAAAAAAAAAGATAGAAACGACACCTTCATCCCAATGAGTTCTACAAATACCATGAGGATTTTGTGGGTGTTGGTGTTGTTCTTCCCCGCTTCATCAGGTAAGGGGCGCACTCAGACGAATGGTGTTTAGTTAAACGGAGCAAAATATTAAAGTCGTCATTTAGAAAAGGAGTTTCTCCTAAAATATATTTTGAGAGAAAAAACAATTCCCCATTTGAATCTACAATTTAATAGTTTAAACTCATAAAAACCCTCAGAATGTAGAATGTGGAAGTCTAAACCTTTGGGAAAACAGGAGCTCATCCATGTTTCCTGTCATTGTTCTGAGGATCTGGGCTGAAATACCACGCAGAAGAACTGCTGCGCCAACTCATGTTATTGGGTTGCGCTTTTTTTTCTTCAAATAAACACATTCCTTTTTCTGTTTTTGTACATGGGGCAGTTTCTAAATCTCTGTCAGTGAGGAAGACGTTGCAATTCAAAAAGTGACTTATTAAAATATAATTACATTGTTTAGATTTAGCACAGATTGTGTGAAAACACGCCATGTGTATTAAACTGTGTTAATAGCATTTTACACCACAAGTGAAACCTTTGTCTGGTGAAGAATATATTCATGTTAACACATGTTATCCATTTTTAGCTTTTAACTTTAATCTTGGAAACAGGATCATGGCTCAGAATACATCAATCAATATGATATATATATATGATAATGGTGAAATTGTCCATTCATTTTCTCAAATAAGAGGCAATGCTTCATGCTTAATGTCCTTACTCAGAAGGCGTGAGCAGTCTGATAATCAAGTTAAGCTTCTAATGACTCTGATAACTTTCCTATGATTCAAACACAATGACTTGTCTTCTAGATGCTGTGATCGACTTGACAATGATATCCACCGCGGAGGTCACCAGTGTCAATCGCTTCACCATCTCTTGTATCAATGGAGAGCGCAACCCTGGCCCGCTCGACATCAAGAAAGACAATAAAATATTCGTATTGTCCAAGGCGCCAAATTTTAAAGTGTATAAGCCGAGTAACAAGAAGTCAGTGGCCAGAAACTTCAGTGATTTGCATCATGTCGGCATCTTCTACTGTGAATCCAAGCAGGAGGTTCCCCCACTGGAGACGGCCACAATGATCAATAACTATGGCACAGGTGGGTTCAGACATCATTAAAAAACTACAATAACCACAGTTTTATGAGAGTTTTAACTGACAAATGCTATGACCAGATTATTTATGATCTAGTTTTCTAATCCGTCCGGGTCGGATGGAGTGTCAGGTGTGAATCATGACTGTGTCTGTCCGTTTTCATTTATAGGAAATTTTATCCCAAATTACCTCACGCTTACCGCTAACAAAGGAGAGACGGTTCACCTCAGCATGCAGATACTCAGCTCCCAAGAGAGAGATGTGACCTGGAAGTACAACGGTGAGCAATCATACATAACTCAAGAAAGAGAGGGAATTTGATGCACATTAAGAAGCCCTTCACTCCCGTTACACCTTTTAGTACCATAGTACTTTCTTAACACGTTGCAAAGCCTTCCCCTAAACGTTATTGTCTTTTGTGTAGGAAACTACTATTATATGACTCACTGGAACGACGTGATTAATCGTACAGCAGTGCTCACAGTGGAGAATGCAGCGCTGGCCAATCAGGGCATCTACAGCGCCAGCTTTGTTGGAGACAGCCCCCTTCATGGCGCTTGGATGAGGCTCATTGTCAGAGGTTTGTTGGATCCGGATATCCACCAAGCTTGGAATGAAAAATACACACAGCAATTTGCACTCATCACGGTCAGATTGTGTGAAGGGGTTTTTAGTCTGTTTTGTTCACTGCACACTATTACATTTAACAAGGTTCATTATGCCGTCCTTTCGCCGAACAAAGAGCACGGTTGTAGGTTACAATTAAAAAGGAAAGTTGTGGCGGGAAACTAAGTTTTAATGTCAATAAGGGCAGAAGAGGGTGAAAACACCACCGAAGCATTTGGGTTATGTCTCATAATTAATCATCTCATTAAAAAAAGAATGCTAAGTAAATCCAGAGAAGACGACTCAAACAAGTCACTGCGCTTTACTATTTCAACTAAATTCGTTTTAATTCATTACTGCGCAAGTCTGCATTCGCCAACATATGCAACAGCAGCACTCAGACAGGGATGCTGGGTTTAATGCTGAAAGCCTAACGTAGTGCAGGCGGGTCAAAACTTGAACTGTTTGGGTTTTAGCACGCCACACTTTCGAAATATACATTTGAAGCAAAGAAAACCTGTTTTCCCTGTAGATTGTCCGAGTAAGAAGTGGGGTCCTTCCTGTGACAAGGACTGTCCGGAGTGTCTCAATGGTGGGGTTTGTCATGATGTCGACGGAGACTGTATCTGTCCTCCGGGATTTATGGGAACACGATGTGAAACAGGTTAGTCGTCAACTCAATACGGTAAAATACTGTACATATGTGTGTGTTTGTCTGGTTGAGAGACAGACAGAGAGCCACAGAGGCTTAATGCTTTCCATGTTCACAACCATATTTGAACTTTTAACCAAAGGAGGTACCGCAAGAAGACCACAGCAACATCTCAAACATGTGCCATAAGTAATTAATAATTCTAATAGTTCGTTCTGTATATATTTACAACTGTAATGTCTGTGTACACTTTACACTTTTAGGAGACGATATGTGAGGTACATTGTATTTAAATGGCAAACATTAGATTAATATCACATCTACACAGTATTGTGGTAAAGACTGCCTGCACACCTTTTTTTTAAGACAATGCAATATTATTTATTTGGTATTTTGCTAACAGATGAGTAGACTGATGACTGTTCTCTGAGATGTTTCGCAAGGCAGCTCAAGGCATTATACAGCAACGAATTTAAATAAACACATTTGTGAATTTGTCTTTCTCTGATGGTTTGCAGCCTGCAGAGAAGGAATGTTTGGCCGAAACTGCCAAGGGTCATGTGACTCCAAGCTGAACTGCAAGGGGCTTCGATTCTGCCTACCAGACCCTTACGGCTGTTCCTGCGCCAGCGGCTGGTTTGGGAGCCGCTGTGAGAAGGGTGAGCCCTGCGTCACTTAAGATGTCCCGTTCTTTTAAATGAAAGTAATATGCATGTTTCAGCATTTACTTAAAAACATTTGGTGTTCCACACTGTGCAGTATTACTTTCGGGTTTGCTATTTTCAGACTGCCAAAATGACATGTATGGACCGGACTGCAGACTGAGCTGTAAATGCCAGAATGGAGGAGCTTGCAACCGTTTCAGTGGCTGCCAGTGTCCCACAGGGTGGAGAGGACAGAATTGTGAGAAGTCTGGTAGGTGTCCTGACATCGTATCAATCCCTCTTTTATCCACAGGCTTTGTTTAGTTCTGGCTGCTTTGTGGAATTGAATCAACAGCCTTGCTATTATATATATATATATATATATATATATATATATATGTCATTTTGCCTTCTCATGCTCCTTCTCACTAAATACCACCACCTTCATTCTTATCATGACAGCAAAGATTTCTGAGCATGCACAAACGTATAAAACCAAAACAGCTGGCTTCATCTCCGTTCATTGCCTCTCTCCATTTTCAGACCGGGCTCCCCAGATCTTGGATTTGGTTAGTAACGTGCAGTGGAATCTGAACTCCAGCCCCAAGATCCTTTGTTCAGCCACGGGCAACCCTCTGCCCAGCCACAACAGCATTGAGCTGCGAAAGTTGGACAGCACTGTGCTCAAGGTAGACCGAGTGAAAGTTGTTTGCAACACTCCTGCCAAGATAGCTTTCAGTGGGTCTGAGTTAAGATCACGCAAATGCACAGCTCGGATAAAGTCTAAGTCGAGGTCGTCCGGCGGAGATTAAACACGCGACCTCACAGGGAGTACAAAGGTTCCCCAAGTGGCTGCTTTGAGGACAGATTAGACAAAAAAAACGTTGTTATTTTCTGCAGCAGGATGTAAAAGTGCTGATTGGCAGATTTTTTTTTTAATACTTTGTGGAGAGCTGTGCTACCTGCTTTCCTTTCCGTGCGCTAAGGCTTTGGTTTTTAAATTGTAGCGCGCCTCGAAGATTGGACTGACGATTACGATTAATTGTAGTTCAGAGGAAATCAACAACACAATGGCTCGACCAGATAAGGCAATATCACTTTACAGTGCAGCAGTTACCAAGTGTTGTTGCCTATAATGTACAATTTCTTTGTCCCTCTTTCTGTGCTTTTTCCTTGATAGTAGAATTCGTCTGATCAAAACTTGTACAGCCACTTTACAAAAGAGTAAAATTTGGTCAGCAGCAGCAAGAATACACACAGGAAATGTGTTTTTCATCTTACATTGCATTATATTGAATGTTATCTTTTCTCTCCTCTCAGGCTTCTCGGACTGTGATGGACTCGAATAAGAGTACAGCCTCGTTTGAAATCCCTCGCCTGACTGCTCAACAAGGGGGATTGTGGGAGTGCAGAGTGTCCACTAATGGAGGCCAGGACTCCCGCAAGTTCAACCTCACCATCAAAGGTCTGTGTGCGTGTGTGTGGCCCCTTTTCAGAATATGTGAAGTCAATTGTTTTGACGGCATTTCCTTTACTCAGGCACATCACAAGACAGCAAACAAAGATCGAACTTTTCAAGTATTTCCCATGTGTCTACTCAGAGCCCCCTGTTCCCACTACTGCTCCCAAACTGCTGGAGAAAAGGAGCAAGCAGCTCCTGGTGATGCCTGTGGACTCCCACAGAGGAGATGGCCCCATCGTCTCAACCAGGCTCCTCTACAAGCCTGTGGAGAACGTGCACTCGTGGTCCTCCATCATCGGTAAGATATCATTCAAAAGCAATACCGGCATAGACAAAGAGAAATAATTACAACCTTTTTATAAGAGACGCCCTGATGAGGTCTGCTCTAGGTTACTGCTGTTTCTTGTTCTCAACAACTTATCATATGGCAAACAAAAATGTGTGTTCGATTTCATTTTAATTTCATTTCAAATGTCCACTATGTGTGTCTATCATACTATAGATTTAAATTTGAACCTTTCCTATCCACTTTCTTCCAGTTTATAGTGACAAAGAGCCGATCACGCTGATGAACCTGGAGCCTTCAACGCGTTACAGTGTCCGTGTCCAGCTGAGTCGTCCTGGGGAAGGCGGAGAAGGGGCCCCGGGGCCAGAGGCCATCATGGAGACTGATTGTCCTGGTAAGGCTCACTGATATCTGGGGTCACACATACTCAACATAGGTATATTTATTTGGAAATCTTGCTTGTGAAGAAATGTCAGCAGTCTGAACCAAAGAAATTAAGCAACTTATGTCTGGTTGGACTAATAGTTTGCTGAGCAGGGCTTTTCCCAGACATTAAGTCTCCAGTTGTCTTTTCCCCAGTGAGTATATCTGTCCTGATGACTCAAGTAAGAGACAAAAATACCGATAAACTGTAATAATTTGTGGGCACTTTGCTAAAAATAAGTCCAAGCAAGAAGCTGCTTTAATTCCTCAAATGGCGTAAAAGGAGAGAGCATACTGAAATGTTAGCAGATTTAATGGTCCCGCTGAGTTTGACTTTTGTTATAAGTGGTTAAAATGCACACATTTCTGTACAACATTTTTCGCTTCGATTTGACTTGTTTACAGTTTATGCCTATGGAGTGAGAAGTCATATTCAAAATGGCAGAGGATGCAAATGAAATTCTACATTCTTCCACAAAATTGTTATAGTAACCTTTAGTTTTAGGTGGTGTTCCTGGATCTATTTCTCCTCAATGTACGTTCAAATTTATTTTTTAAAGCTCTGCGCTCCTCAGTTTCCTTTGTGTGAGAATAGTGTACATTAAAATACACTTACAGTACACCCAAAAAGCAAGGATTTCAGTTCATGCATTAAAGTATGCTTCATCTTGTGTGTAGTTTGAATATGGGGCACAGTCATGCAAAAACACAGGAACTCCAATCTAACTGAGCATGTCTTTGTACTTGCTGGCAAAACCAGAGCAGCTATACAGAAAACCCACCTGAACGTTATGGTTATAAGTCATGAAGGAGTGGGGCCAAGATTTAAAGCTATTGCTAACTTCTGTACTGCAGTCACATGAAATATAAATCGAGTTAATTGTACATTTCACATCAAAATACTGTCTCTCAAGGGGACATTTTAGGTAAATCCTCAAGAAGCTGTCAGCTCATACTGTGTTCTCTGTTGCTGCAGAGCCAACACTTCAACCTGAGATTGACATCAGCTCGGTGGAAGGCCGCAATGTGACTGTGCGCTGGCGGCTACCTGCCAACAATGGCATTAATGCTGGCACAGCCAGTGGCTTTTTAGTGCAGCTCTTCGGGCCTCCACCCTTTAGTGAGAAACTACTGGAGGAGACCACCCTGCTCACTGTGCTCTCTACAAAGTTCCACAACATGAAGTATCTGCACGACTACACCGTGGTGGTGCGCCTCATCAACTGCGGTAGCCTGGGGCCGCTCTCTAAACCCTACCACTTCCGCATCAACAGCCAGGGTAACTAGACACTGCTGTCAATAAGCTGGAGAAAAAAAAAGCTCCTCCTGAATGTTGCAGAATTTTGATTTGTGCATTTACAGGTGTTTGTGGCTAAACAAGAGGTCTAACACAAAGCTCTTAAACACGATTGAATGAGATGATAAGAGCTTTCGACCCTCAGTAAAAGAGTATAGTTGGTGCTTACTGATTGCATGGAAACTCTGTCCCTGCCCACAAACCTTAATTGAGTTGAGGATGACTCTAGCAGCTCTCATGTAGGCGTTGAGGAATTATCCAGTTCGGCAATCACCGGAGATGATCAAGTTGGAAAAAGGTCAATCCGACAGAACGGCAATGAATTCTGTTTAACCCTTATCTTCGATATGAAAGCTTTCCCAGAATGCCAAGAAAAAAAGGAGAAAAAAGCCTGTGACAGCAACATTACTTTTGTTTGGAATATAGTTCACAGAATCTAAAGAAACTATGAAAATCTCTGTGTCTCAGGTCCCTCATCCCCACGCAACATCCAGGCGCTGCCATTGTCCATATCAGCCATCCAGGTGAGGTGGCAGCCCCCTGAAGATCCCAATGGAGGCATCATCAAATACATCATAGAGTACCAAGCGGTTGGCCAGGGGACGCCGCACCCCTGGGTCGACACAGACGACGGAAACAAGACCACCAAAGCTGTGACGGCACTCAACGGCAGCACGCTCTACCAGTTCAGGGTGAGGGCTTTCTCCAAAGTGCCGGGGGAGTGGAGCAAGATCGTTCAGGCGATGACACAAGGCGACGGTGAGTGCCGACACGTTCACGTTGTTTGGTTGTTTCAAACTCTCATGCCAGTCTTCCGATTGTATTGGAGGGTTTAAAACAGGAACGGGAGACATAGTCTGGAAAAAGGATTGAAATAACTGGATCGCTGGTGTGAATGATGGATGGACTGAATTAGATCAGTGCCTTTTTATAGCTTCTTGGAAATACATTTACTACCAGTGGAACATTTCTGCACCACTGTACTTGTGGCTATTATTGGTCTTTTCCCGAGTGACACAGAATGGAACCATTCACACAGGGACAGGGTTCAACTCATACACACACTTCTCATCTCCGTCTACCTATTTGGGGTTTTCTTTCCAACTCCCATTCTGACCCCAGTGTCATCCCTCTCCATCTCTTTCACAATCCCAAAAAAGGCCTTCAGAGTTTGGCCCCGGCAACCCAAGGCGTGGCTGGGAGGCCCGCCGTGGAGAGTTACCAGCTGTTGGTGGCAGTGGTGGGCTCTGTCACGGTCACCTGCGTGACCATCTTGTTGGCTCTGTTGGCTCTCTTCTTCATCCGCAAGACGCTGCTCAACCGTCGGCGCACCTTCACCTACCAGTCGGGATCGGTATGGATGGAAAAATGATTTATAAAGCTGCGCTTTGGGTGACATCTTGAAAATGTATTTTGAGGAAAGGCCAAGAACTACTAAAAAGTTTGTAGTTAAAGTAGAGCTTAAGACTGTTTATACCCCCAGGGTGAGGAGACTATTCTGCAGTTTAACTCAGGAACGCTGACCCTGACACGGAGGCCCAAACCGACACCAGAAGCCCTAACGTATCCAATCCTGGAGTGGGAGGACATCAAGTTTGAAGATGTCATTGGAGAGGGAAACTTTGGCCAGGTGTTTAAGCTCCCAATGTACATTCCGGATATTTTAAATGTTTCTCTTTCGCCGGACATTCTTTATCCACTTGAAGAAACATTTAAGTTAACGACAGTCTCAAAACCAGGTCATCAAGGCCATGATCAAAAAGGACGGCAGCAAAATGAGCGCAGCCATCAAGATGCTGAAAGGTAACCGCATTCATCCAGGCACTCTCCAACATAACGATACACTGAACATGAATCACATGCGAGCTGCGTTGCTCGCACTTTGTCTGAAGACGCATTGCATGCTGATCTTCCTGCAGAGTATGCCTCAGAGAACGACCACCGAGACTTTGCAGGGGAGCTGGAGGTTCTGTGTAAACTTGGCCAGCATCCCAACATCATCAACCTGATAGGAGCCTGTGAGAACAGAGGTGAGTGAGCAGCATCTAGTGGCGTCTGTGGATATTGGTGAGCTTTTGAGTTATGATGACTAAGCTGATAAGAAAACTATGAGATGGAGACTGTATGTATGTTACCCTAACTTGATTAAACCTCATTTCCCTTTGGTTGACACATGTGAGCTCAGTTTTTATCATTCAATCTATATAACATTAACAACTTGCCTAATGTGTATATTATTCATACATTGGATTGTGTATTGCAATGTATTTGCCAATACGGGTTTATAAAATTGCTGTCAGTATTGACTTTCAGAAGGAATGATTAATGCTAATTTACTAGGAGGTGTCTCCCAGACAATTTACTGACAAAATTCTATTTCTACCTACTCTGATTTGATGGAGGTGTAGAACTTTAAATCTTGCTAGAGACCTAAACAGATACTCCCATCTGATCATCGATCATTTGTATCTGGAAAGTACCAGAGTGTATCCAAGATAAATACTCTTGCCTGCCATAGACATTTTAAACTTTTGCATCGCATTTGTTTAATTTGTCCATGTAGTTCCCAAGCAGACTGCCGTGCCACGTATTGATGAATTAGTAAAAGGTTTCCTGGGCCCCGGCTTTGACCATGGCATATCAGTTTAACATAGCTGCAGCCCAATGCTTCCTTATCACACCCAATACTTTTGTGTGATCCAAGATTGATAACACATGGGGGAGGACGTCTTGTGTGGAAAGTACTTCAGTGAGGACATTACAATACCAAATAAGCCTTAAATAAATGTCTCCCCCCAATTATGTCTGCAAACCCACTGTGTTTATATCTGCTGTTAAACTAAACTGTTAAAAAGGTTCACCTGCATTTGTCAGTTATTAGAGTACAACAATAAATATTCACCCCGCCTCCCGAACAAGAGCAATAATACCTTCTGAAACTTTTCTGCCAACAAACCTCTCTTTGTGTAATTTTTTAAGCAGTTTTGATCTTTTATGATTCAGCTCTTTGTTTACATGCCTCCTTGTTTTTTTAATTTTTTTTATTACGCAAAAGCATATTCTATTAACAGTATGGGACGGCCAGGAGACAGATTTTAAAATGGAGAACAAGGGGAAGACATAACGGCGTGTTGCAGGGAAGCGAGGAGGGAGGAAAGCTGCAAGGTCAAAGTGGGAGAATAAAGAAGGAAAGAGATCAATGAGGAAGACATGCTGCTTGTGCTGCAGCTCTTAAAATGTCCTTTGATGCAAATGGTTGCACAAACAGTTTGACAGTATTTTGGTCTTTTCTGTTTCATGTTGAGAAAAGCAAACTTTTTTACAAAACATGAACTTAATCTATTGTAGCTGAGAAGGAGCATGGTTGTATAATGTTCCAGTTCTTTAAGTCTGTCCAACGCCCAACTTCTCTTTCCTTCAACATATGGCATTAACTAATAATGTTTGGCACTCTCTCTGTTCCTGGTGAAATCCACATGAAACACTTCCAGCACAATTGCCTCATGACCCGTAGGAACTCTGCTTTGGGTTGGAAGCTGCAGCATCTATTAAAAAAGGCCTCAACCATCTGGTTGATCTCTGTAAGGATTTCATGAAAGGCCCGAGCAGCTGTATCTGGGTCTCCTCCACACCCATTGGAGGGAGGCCAGCCAAGCTCATAGTCACAGTTTTTGGGGAGCTAAGCTTATGGATAAAATGTGTATTAGCAGCAGCCTCAACTCCTTTAATCACCATGAGAGTGTCTTGTGATGTCAAAAACGTTACGTGTTGCCCAAACGCAATTAAATCCCATAGATGGCGAACGCCATAAAAAGGGAGGTCTACGGCACATTTAAAGTGTCCTCTATGTTCATTAGAAGATAACGTCCTCTTCCCGATGTTACCCCGACTCTGTGTTCTCCAGGTTACCTGTACATAGCCATCGAATACGCTCCCTACGGTAACCTCCTAGACTTCCTGAGGAAGAGTCGAGTGCTGGAGACCGATCCCGCCTTTGCCAAGGAGCATGGCACAGCTTCCACGCTCACCTCCCAGCAGCTGCTGCAGTTCGCTGTCGACGTGGCAACCGGGATGCACTATTTAAGTGACAAACAGGTAGGAGGTAAAAGAGTGTATATGTGTGGCTGCTTGTTTAGCTTTTTATTTGGATGAGCGCTTTTTTCTCGAGTTTTTCTTTCCATGGCCTGATAAAGGACATTTATTCAAAGATGCTGCATGACAGACGCTGTTGATGAAGCGATTGAATACCTAAATGAAAAGCACGTTCATTAAATACAGTCTCTTCTTGCCTTCCCTCTCTTGGTGATAGTTTATCCACAGGGATTTAGCAGCCAGGAATGTTCTGGTAGGGGACAGCCTTGTGGCAAAGATAGCCGACTTTGGCCTTTCCCGCGGTGAGGAGGTTTACGTCAAAAAGACAATGGTGAGTGAATGAGTCATACACACACAGCCGGGAGAGGGCACTGTTGTGTTTTTTGTCATTTTGCACTCCACACGAGTGGATTAAAGCTTTTGCCAACAGCTCCTGCACAGATAAAACTGAAAAAAAATGTTTTGGAGTAGATATGTACTATAAATGTGTGAGCCCACAGTGTTATCTGGTATGTCAGTCAATTTGCAGCCTGGTGGTTAATACGATTATGATTTCATTCATATGATGTTGTAAAAATGTATTGTTTAACTACTAACTTCTTTTTAAGAATAAGTATTTACTGATAGTGAAATGTATTAGATGTTGTTAGTTATTCACTGCCATCATATCAATTTAAAAAGCATCTGGGATATTCTGATAATAGTGTGTAGTGGTAGTAGAGCAGTGTGCTACTTTGCCCTAATAGGCTTTTGACTGATACCGTACTTGGTAAGTTAACTGGATCTCCATCGTCAACCTGTGGCAACAGAGTAACGACCTGTCAGATTTACGCACATCCTACGTTAGTAACAACACAGAAGAATGTCTCACATCGCTGTGTTGTTTGGCTTTCAGGGGAGGTTGCCCGTACGCTGGATGGCCATTGAGTCGCTGAACTACAGCGTGTACACGACCAAGAGTGACGTGTGAGTGTACCGAGGAAACTCATCAGTTCAACACGATTCCTCACTTAACCTATTGCCCTTCACCCCAAACAGCTTGAGTTTGGTCAGGCAGGAACATCTCACTATGTGTTACATACAAAATATATACACACATAGTGGGGAGAACAAGTATTTGATACACTGCCGATTTTGCAGGTTTTCCCACTTACAAAGCATGTAGGAGTCCTTTTTATCATAGCTACTCTTCAACTGTGAGTGACGGAATCTGCTGTAGTAAAGTTAACGATATTGCAAACAAATCCCTCTGGTCTTGTGCGAGAGTTGTGTAACAGATAAGCACAAGCAGGAAGCCTTGGGTACACCTTAGCGGAGAGACGTTGTACATTATCTGTAGTGCACAACAAGCGTAAAGAGTGTAGGACAGCTAACGGAAGAAGGCGCGTGAAGGCTGCTGCAGAGGGGGAGCTGTGTACATCCCCATGAGAAACACAGTGAAAGAGTGAGTGTACAAGATCTAAGACGGAGCGAGAAGAGACAACAGACCAAGGAAACGGCCACTTGTCTGCTCAGAAGATCTACCAAGCAGCATTTTGACATGTGAAACAAACAACACTTATCAGATTGTAGGAGCAAAGGTGGTTTCAAGTTGTTGAGACACACGTTACTGAACATATTTATGTATTTGCGTAAAACGTTCAAGCTAGATAATGCAATATTTTTACTGGGCTCTAAATTCTTTACTGTGTATGTAGATTAGCAGGTAACCAATAAAGCAGTGCAGTTTTCTACCCAGGTTCACTTTAAAAACATTCAATTCCTTGCACCTTCTCTCCCAGGTGGTCTTTCGGCGTTCTCCTCTGGGAAATTGTAAGCTTAGGTAAGTAAGCATACAGCCCGTGGTGGTCACATGATGGTGACAATCCTTACCATTGCTAAACCCCAAACCAAAATGTTTCTGTGTGTGTCAGGTGGCACCCCATACTGTGGGATGACATGCGCTGAGCTTTATGAAAAACTGCCACAAGGCTTCAGGATGGAGAAGCCCAAAAACTGTGACGATGAGGTGTAAGTATTCAGCATTTTGTAACTAGAAATCAGTTTTCTTGTTCTGTTATTCATCAATGTCTATTTATCGGTCTAGGTATGAGCTGATGAAGCAGTGCTGGAGGGATCGGCCCTATGAGCGACCCCCCTTCTCCCAAATATCTGTCCAGCTCAACAGGATGCAGGAGGCCCGCAAGGTAATGCTGCGGTCACACTGGCGGGAGAATAGGAAGACTAGGAAGAGGTCCTGCTGTTAATACTTGGGAGTACAGTGGAGTCGTTTTCATGCCAAACTATACAATTACAATAGTCATTGTATGAATGAATATTTACGGCATACTACAAATAGTTTAGCCTAGCTGTTTACTGTTCAATTCAATATGACTGAAACCCTGGAATGGAATTGTAAGCTTGAGGCCATTTGGCAGCAGTTAATTGGCATTTCTGTAGCCATTCGGTTTGTACACAGTGACATTAACAGCTTCTACACATCTTCCAGGCTTATGTGAACATGGCTCTCTTTGAGAACTTCACCTACGCTGGGATAGACGCCACAGCCGAGGAGGCCTGACCACCAGCCCCCCCAGACCCTAGCATGTCACGTAGCCCCAATAGGAAGTCCCGAGGACGGTCGCCGCGTTACTGCCGTCCCCCTGTTGCTCAACGCCACGACAGGAGGACCAGGCGCTCTACCAAGGCCACCAAGCTGTAGACGGAGGACTGTGAAAGGACACTGTGCGGAGGTATTAAGAGATGAGGAGTATGGCTAGGCCTTGGATGGATAGATTCGATTGCTACCAACTTTTTCGGAAATACCGACCCCAAAGCAGTCCAGTCCATGCGACAAATAAGGAGCTATTTGACTTGTTAAAACACCACAGGGTCTGTGGGGTGGGGCTTTACTTTCTCTCCATTTGGCCAAATGGAAAAAGGACTTTTCTGTGAACATGAATATCAAAAGGACACAGTGTGGATCACAAATATTCAAGTTCTCAGACTGTTAGAAAAGGATACAAGAAACATACATTGTAGCACTTAAACTAGCCTCATTTCTGCCATTTGTGTCTTTTACTGTTTGCCTATCACTGCCATGTGAATGTAACTACTTGTGTGTTTGTGTGTGTGTGTATATATATATATATATATATATATATATATATATATATATATATATCATGGATGTATCAAAGCCTCTTATTCGAATGTAGTCAAGGATACTGACCGACATTAATGCAACCGTGGTAGATGTTGCTGCATGTAAAAGCTCCGCCACATTGTAAAATGTTACCAAAACAAGGCAGATCACTGTTAGACTGCCAGCTATCAACATTATAGTTTACCTTTAACATTATAGGTATGTAGAGCAATGTAGAGTAATGTATCCAGTATATGACCATGTACAGTATGTTTCCACTAACCGGTTCCTTGAATAAAGGTGTTGTGTGGTGACTGGACTCATCACTACATTGATAGCTGTTCTATGAGCATATGTCACGTTTTCAGTTATAAACAGATGTTGAAGCTACCAAAGATTATTTTGTCTTTTGTTGTTGTTGTTGTTGTTGTTGCTGCTGGCCTGCTCAAAAGTGAGCAATGATGGGAAACCACAGGTCAGGCTGCTGGGGGGCCAAAGTCTCCTTTCAGAGTTCAGGAACACTGATACCCCGGCTGCACTGAGCTGATCTGTCACTGGGTTTCCTTCACAAACCAACCGCAGGCGCATAACAGTCTGTCAAATGTGGTCTCAGTGGCGCTGCTTCCTGAGGACTCGCGCACAACGACACCGGCTACACAACAACACCAATGTGCAATGTGAGATCCGGAGAAAAATTATTCATATCCCTTGTTTGTAGAGGAGCAAAACGGTGATTAAATATAAAACAGAGAGAGGCAGAGAGGGTGGCTTGGGGTCAGGGATGTGGTGGGGGGATATTGTAGATCTGAAACAGTGTTGACAGTACGGTTTTGCGGGGTAACCTCTGCCCAGCTAAGAAGGTTAGGGAGATGTACTGTAGATGCAGAAGCATTGCATGTCCTCAGTGTTTGCCAAAGGGAAGAGGAAGTTGGGCTGAGGTGGGTTGGATGTAAATGTTGGTTTCTTCAGAGCCATTGGCTGCTATGTCCATCTTGTTTGGTGTTTCAGACCACGTGAAGTTGTGCAGTCCAGAGTAAAGGTTACCAGGATATTCATTCAGCAGCAGACATGAGACAGTTTGTTTCATATATGGATAACTGAGTTTTGGTTTATGAAGTTTTTGAGATCAGCCTCGCAAGTAATCCAGAGCCGTCGTCTGAGCAAAGTCCTTTATCTTCAACATGCAGGTGCAGGTGTTTTTGAAGCACTTTTCATCATCTCTAGTGTTTTCCATAGGTGTCCTTTAAATGTATATCTGTATTTAGAGCAAGGAAACAAACTGCAAACACAACCAGGTGATGGACAAACATTTACTCGGCTCCAACATCTCCCATTTGTCATTGGGTACAATACAGAGCGTTTGAGAGTAAACAGAAATGAGAGATTTCCTAGTTTCAGTTTTTTTTTAAAAACTGCCTGATTTGGTGCTTACTTCCACTCAGCTTTCAACAAAGAACACTTCCTGCTTTAAGCACAGCCAAGCCCTCTGGACTGATCAACCCACCCAGGCCTGCTCTAAAACATGCACAAAAGACCACACACACACACACACACACACACACACACACACACAACGCACATACGAAAGAAAGAGCTTTGTTGGTTTAGGTGCTATTGTGGTTTAGGGTACACAATACCTCAATCTACAATGAATTTTCAGCGCAGCTGGGCGATCCTCCTTATTAGCGTGTGGATACAAGTGGGCTTTGTCGCTGCGATACATTACAAGGATGGAACTGCAAGTCATCTATCAAGTGAAGGTAGGACTCAACGATAGCTAAATTAAACCATACAAAAATAATCTATTAACTAATGTAAGTCCAATCAAAGGCTGTGCTGTACTATATGGCACAGAGACACAAATGTCACAAAATATGTTTGTGAAGTCATGGGAAGTTCAGTTCTGGATAATAAACTGTGGGTAGAAAGTAAAATTAAAAGATATCCCGGCAATTAATGGTTCCACACAACATTGTGATACCTAAAACATCTGTACCTTTGTCTTTTCTGGATCAGATGTTTTGCTCTTAAAGGATGAGAAAGATCCCAAATGTTTCACCCGCACAGAAAAGGATTTTACCTGCTTCTTTGAGAGTGCAAACAACAGAACTCATGATTTATTCTACAAGTTTGACAGGTATGCTTTGGATTTTGTAAATTAAAGTTAACACACAGTGTCAACATGAGATTAAATCTGATTTGTTTGTCTTGTTCTCATAGGAACATTTTTTGAATTTATTTTTTAAACTTTAAATTGCTACTATTTATCATTATGACATTATCATATCAATTTATTTAACCAAATATTTCATCTTTAACTTTAAAAGGATTTCAGTTTTTTTATTCCTCCTTTTTGAATTTTCTGTGTTACTGTCACTTCCCCTACAAGTTAAACATTTTCAACTACACATTTGTGAGAGATGCTTCACAAAATATTGGATTTATTGCTTAAAATCTACCACCATGTCAGTTATTTGTGTCATTTATTCCAATCAAGCCATTCCGGAGAGAAAAGGTGTGAAATGTCTGTCCAGAGAACAGATGTCGGAACTTTACTCCACATCTGCTCATTTCCTGGGTCTGATGTTTTCTTGTTTGTGGAAATACACCTTGAAGTGGTGGAGCGAAACACCAACACCAGCCTCTACAGTCGCACACTGTGTGTGGAGGAGCACCGTAAGACTTTTATCTTTACCTACTATAAAACAAAAAAAGCTTATGGAAATACTTTCTCAACAACATGCAAACATCGCTCCTCTTCCTTCCGCTTCCTTTAGCCTGGCGTGTTAAGATATCAGAAACAAATCATTTTAATAAATCAATTTAAAAATACAATTTGAAAGTATTCTACGAACATTATGATGAACACTGAATGTTTTATAAGTTGTTGCAGCAATATTTGGACTGACGCTTGTAGTTTTGATTTCATTTGTAATGTTACTACTCGTGAATTGCTAAAAAAAAATATCAACTATTCTTTCAACAAAATAAGAAGATATTATATATTGGCTGTATTTACGTATTTGTATGTACCCTAAATACTAGTTAAGGGTTGTAAGGTTTTATGAGGCTTAATGGGGCTTTTGATTATGATGTCTAGTTTCAAAAATGGTTGTACTGCAATGAAATGGCTACTATGGAGACCAACATAAACATTAAAGGGGAAACTTGTGCCGTGGATACTTATAGAACACATCTCCATTATGCTATCTTGTTGGGAGAGGTCAAGGGACCCTTTTGAAAATAGACAATACTTTTTTTGAACATTACTGAGCAAATGAGTAGTAATTCTAAAAAAAGGCCAACTTCTCAATTTCTGAAAGGTTACTGGCTCCAACCACAACAGTGAGTTTGTCCCCTGTGTAACAAAGAGGTCAGCAAATCAAATCTATTTACCCTCATGGGCATGAATAATAAAAATATCAATACAAGGAATATTTTTTCACTTGTGTATTCTGGTTGTTAATGCAGCGTTTGGCTGATTGGATTCTGCCATGTTTAATAATGTTGTTTTATTCTCCAGATCTCCTGGATCCACCCTTCAGTGTGTCTTTACTCCGAAATGGCCGAGCGGGGCAGCTGCAGGTTTCATGGCAAACCAATGTCCCAAAATACTGTGAAGATGATATGATGAGTAGAATTCAATACTCATCCAAAGGGTTGGGAGAGCAGAGCAGAGAGGTACACGTACACACGGCTCCTCAACAAATCAAGATCGTTTTAACGCACAAATAATAAGAAGACAGTTTGTATATTATTTTAGTGGCTAGCATGAGTTAGTATGAATGTCATAAAAAAGTGTTTAGTATATAGTATACTGTGGAGCTCTGGATCTAAATAAGAATATACAAATCAATCTTAATTATACAATTACAAAATTGTGCACTTGAAAGAATAAACTGACAATTTGCTTTTTTTTCTGAAAACCGCTTGTAAATTGTTTAAATAATACAATACATTGTTTTGTTAATCTTAATAACATTAATTAAACCATAATCGTATACACTAGCCTGTGTATTTTGTGCCACGAGCAAATAAACAGGAAAACAAAGGCATAAATATAACTAAATTGAACATTTGATGTTTGGTTATATATTCTATTTTATGAATCTCTATTGTTATGTCTAACTAAGAATTGTTGAAATAATCACAATGATATATCAAGTTTATATCATTGTACTAATTGTAACCTTAGTAATTAGTAATTGTCTGTATGCATATTTACAATGGGTGAAAAAAGGTTTATGCATAATTTTGAATATTTTACAATATTTTTAATGTAAAGTTTGAGAATGTGATTTCTCCAGACAAAGGACAGCACGATACTGGACTCTCTAGTACCTGGGGAGGAGGTTGATGTCCAAGTGACCATCAAATGTGCTTATAGTCCAAATGCCGGACACTGGAGCAGCTGGTCACACCCCGTGCGAGCCATGGTTCCCCAAAGTGCAGGTGTGTTGAAATGAGAAAGTGTGTGAATCTGAGTGAGCGGAAGAGCGCTTACCTGGGACCTCCTATGTCACAGATGCAACTTGTGAAAAAAAAAAATGTTTCTCTCTTCTTCCAGATGACATTTCTCTAACGTGCTTCACATCTGACCTGCAGAGGATCACCTGTCGTTGGCATGGGAGCAGATATGGTCAAGACCATGTGTACAAACTTTCATACAAAATAACCCAAAGGTACATTGCTACATTCCATCATTGAAAAACGTAATTCACTGAATATTTAATGTTAACATTTTTAGCTGAGTTTTGATTGAATACAAAGATTTACATGCTTCAAAGTACACGCCAGGAACCGCATTAGTTTGAGCATGAAATGTTGCAATCTATTGACAACCACAACCTTTCCGTTCCTTTGACATTGTTGTCCATCCTGTTCACTTCTTTGGGTTCTGTCCGCTGAAACACACTGACATCTGACATCCCCTTTTGTGGGGCTGTGATTCGATGTGATATTACAGTGAAGTTGTGGATTGGACACAATGGACAGAGTGTCTGGCTGAGGAGAATGTGACTGAAGTGTGCCATTTCCGTGGGGAAGAGTTCAAGAGAGTGAGAGTGAAGCTCGCCAGCTCTTCGGCTCCTCACAGCAGAACCTTCTATAGTCCAGAGTTCACTCTCCGCAGCAGCGGTGAGGGACTTTCTTTCTCCGCCTCCGGTCGCGTTTGGGTGTTTTAACTGTATTTCTTTAACCTCCAGGTTTGTTATCTGAGGAGTACTTTTGATGTGATGACAATTGACAAAAGGAGACTAACAATTCTTATGTCAAATGACCATCGGTCAACTATTGCTAGGTGTGGGTATTGCTTACAGACCTGCATTTGTAATAGATGAATAACAAAAAAATCCAAATTGCATTTGCGCAAACATATTCAAACAACAATCCATTTCTGTTTATTCTTAGAAGGGTAGCTTACCAAGAGAGTTTCTCAGTTACTGTTGTAGAAAGAGGCCAAGTGGCGAGTAACAATTTGGTTCCCCGGCTTTATCTTAATCTATAAATTGTGTTTTTTTTTTGGTTTTAGTCAAAACATCCCCACCACACCATCTGAAAGCAACGTTGGAAAAAGACAAGTTGTGCTTGAAATGGGAAGCGCCTCTTCTGTCTCTGTCTGCTCACCTGCAGTACGAAGTCAGCTACCTGCTCAGAGACAGAGAAGCGTGGATTGTAAGACGTCCTTTGCAGAGAGTCGCAAGTTTTTGTTTGTTCAATAGGGCTGCGTGTGGTCAGTATTTCCACCAGATGGCACCAAAGAAAGTATTACAATACAACTGCTTAACGTGACACTTTTCAAAATTATTAATTACATCGGTTATATAAACTTACAAAGCTGGATATGAGAATAATTAAACCTGCCAAAACATGAGGAAATTAAGATTGTTTGTGCAAACATTATTCATGTAAAGGAAAAAGAATGCATTCAAATGCAGAAAGGGAACATAAATACATATCTCAAGGTAAATGAAGAACGCAAATCGAGTTCAGTGTCCTTTTATGCTCTTCCAATTGAATATCAAAATAAATCTTTGTGTCCCCAGACGATGTCCTCAAAGGGCCCTGAGACAGGGACATGTCTAGAGGTTCCAGCGGGTAGCCATTACAGTGTTAAGTTCAGAGCTAAACCCAATGGGTCCATTTACTCTGGATTCTGGAGCGACTGGTCAAATGTCCTTACTGGCGACACCCCTGCTGATACAGGTGAGATCCCAGTGAGGCGGACAGCCGTCAAACATTTAGTAATTACAATCATTTTGTATAAAATAATCAAAAGTTGCACAAATGCGTATATATATTTATTGATATTGAAATATTAGACCTATGAAACTGACATTTGTTACTAGTTAATTACAGCCGTTCAACCCGTAATGCGGTATAAATAACCTTTACAGGTGCATTGCTCATGCTGTGTATAGCTGTGTTGTTGCTGATAGTTGCCATCGTTTTCATCGCCGTGTTTTCCACACAACTTGGGTAAGAACAATTACATATACAAAAAATACAATACTCATGTAAAGTATGCTATGGCGTTAGTTATTTTTCAATCGGCAACAATTACAACTGCACAAACAGGCCTACATTTATTTGATTAAATAAAACTATTTTTATCTAACTGCTCTTGGGATCCAACATGTTAGACCAATTATTTTATTAACATTGTTTGAAGATTAATTATTTTTCTGTCGTTGTTTTTACAGTAAACTCAAGCTGTATTTTTGGCCACCAGTACCCAACCTTGACAAAGTCCTACAAGGATTTCTGACAGAGGTCAATGGCGCGCAATGGGTAAATTATTTTACTCAAAAAAAATTTGATTTTTTTGCCTAATTTCTTAATTGCTTAATTTCGACTAATTAAGCCAGAACAATGCAATAAACCTACGGACGCCAAATATGAATTATGAGAATTCTATATTTTTAAAGATCAAATATGAATTAAGTCATCTCTTTCACCACAAAGATTAATGTACTGAGGTTTACACTCAATTATGTCCAACTTGTTGAAAATGGAATACTATGTGATTACGCTACAGAATCCTCCGATAACAGCAAAGCAGTTCTCTGAAGAAACCACTTCATCTCTGGTGGAGATAATGTCAGAAGATAAGGATTCCCAATTGGGGAAACCATCAGGGGGATCCAACAGGCTCCCGTCACTAGGAAGACCATTCCGCAGCGAAGAAAAGCTGTCTGGAAGCCTCAGGAGTCACGTTACCTTCCCAGACTACGTGACACTGAACAAAGACTGCGTCGTTCTTTGCCCACCAGGAAACAAGTATGTCTACAAGGAGGTTGGAGAGAAAGAAAGCCCCGAGATGTGCGATGAGCTCTTCCAAATATGTCACAGTTCCTGCACCGACGGCCCGGTCGGTATCCCGACCTGCGCTGGCAGGGACTTGCTCAATCGCTCCTACTTGCCTCCGGCTGGGCCTGCAGACGGATTCCACTGCAAGGTCGTTGCTCCAAGGGGGCCAGGCAACCTCTATACTAATTTCCCCTGCAGCTAAATGTGCAGAATAAAAGCTGTGCTTTACTTCCACTGCCGTAGAAGCTGTTATTAGTGAAATGAGGATTCATTTTAATCATGGGATACTCTCTCCCATCATCAGTCTCTATGGAAGGTGGACACACCAACATTGGAGAAGACAATTATAACATTTCTATGACAAGCTGTTGGTGGCGTCCTATACTGTAATATTACTTCTAGATTGGTAATTATATTTACATCAGAGCCAAGACTGCATCAACGCTGCAAATTTATGTCCACAAGAGGGAACCGGAGATGGCAAGATGTTTAGTGACATTACAAGAAAGAAGACCGCATGTTATAAGAACTGTTAACAAGTGGTAGCCTGCAGTTAGTTTACAGCACATTGGACCCAAAAGGGGGAAACGGAACACCTTCAATAAGATTTGAGAGGATGACATTAAAATGATAGATTTAGTCATCTTCTGTGTCAACTACGTGTTTGTATGTTGTTGTTTTTCCCGCAGAATTATTCATTCCTCAATTATTTCTTAGCTTTTAGTTTGATGTACATGTTTATATTTTTTTCAATAAACAATGAAAAGCTTTTATCCTTGGTTGCATTTTTTGTGAATCATTTGCACCTTCATCACAATGATTCTTCATTGTAGGACATTTAAGCAGTTTTAGCATTTCCAGCAATCAACCAAATGCATTGTTCCTAACTTACATTTGAGTGTCACTAGGTGGTAGCAGAACTCAACGGGACATGGGTCATCTCTCTGTTGCCATGGTGAATTCTTTCTGAGACAATTGTACTACTAAAACTGAAAAATATGTTGGATTTTGCTCTTATATATTATTGATTAATGAACTATTAATAATTTGAACATAATATTTAAAAAAAAGCACAACGCAGTTGAATACTAAATGTACATTTATTACACAACTAGGGAGGGGCTCAATTTAAGATCACTCTAATAACTATTACTCCTAATTTATATGAAATCCCAGATACCTTTGTTGGAATAAGGGCAATCACAACATCATGACAACTGCGATTAGAGAGAGGATTAATAAAAGGGTCAAACCCTCAACAAAGTCCTCACATATTTTCAAAGAGCAGTTACTCACAGACGGCCTTACAGACAAAAAGCCCAAAATGCAATAAATGCTTTCAATTTAATTCAGTGAAACGGTTATGGCGCCACAGAGCTGTTGGGGCATTGGGAAAGGGGATGACAATGTTGATAAAATCCAATGATCGACGGTGTTATAATCAGACAGTCTGAGACGGAAGTAACGGTGCGAAAATCAGACCTGGATGCTCTGCCTCCCACATTCATTTCTGTAAAACAGATCACCAGTGTCACACTTTAACGGCGGGCCATTACATTTACGGTGTCTGCCAGACGGTGTGATATCATAGCCATAAATTAGCACAGATTGTCTATGAGGCAATAGGAGAGAGGAGTGCAGGATAGAGGGAGTGTTGAGAGCGGAACAGAAAGGAAGAGAAAGTTTAAGAGTCAGTGTTTACTGGTGTACAAGCCTCTCCTCCCAACAGGAATTCTTTCCGTGTTCGGTCACTGCCCACTTGCCCATATGCAAACGTCTACAAAAGGGAGGTTGAATCAGCTCCTGATGTAATTTCCCTCAACTTTCACTTACAATTCTATGGAGAAAAAGGGTTAGTTTCGTGTCTATGTTTCTATTTGGTCATATCTGCAGGCCTCAAACATTCTGCAAAAACACAGATGAGGCCACCAAAAGAGAGCACTTGTATGTTTGACATACAAGTGTTTCCTGATTCCTGACAGCATCATCCTTTAGACTCCGGTCTGCAAGCACCACTGTGAACACACCAGGAAACCCATAAAGTATCTCGCTTGTTCTGCACGCTAATTGTAAACACTCTGCAATCATAACAACAACACTGGCAGAACCAAGAAGTGAAAAACTACACTCCCTCCAGTATCATTGGGAAGGGGTGAAGGGTTAGGTTTTCCATGTAGACGTTGCACATTAAGGAGAGCAGAGGTGTTGTAGTGAAATACAGATGAGTTCATCTTATACCAATGAGAACATGCATTTCCCACAGAGACAGCCTGTATGTAATACTCTGGGTCAGCACATTTGCATCCTTATATGAATCTAACTAAGGTCTCACCGGGAGAGATGCCAAATTAAAACACAAAATGAAAACAGATGGTCCCAGACGCATGAAATCAAAAGGCTACTGTTCGCTTCTGTAGCTACCGTACAATCAATATCAATGATTACTAAGTGATAGTCATGGAAAGTAAGAGCACCTAAGGTCTCAATGGCAGTTTCACATCAATAATAATGAATCAGGGCATTGCAATAGTACCGACTGCTCATATCTCCAGTGAGCTTTTCATGAACTGTACTTTCAAAAAGAGAAATGAAAAAAATTTGATTAGGGTCATGCATTTATATAAAATACAGGTGAGTGTTTTTGAAACACTAGATTCATGAAATTTATTCAGCGCCAAAGCAGCAATATTTCCACATATTTTTTGTTAGCATATAACAGAAGTAGCAGAATTATTTTTCCTTTCTTTTTTCTTCTTTCTTGTTCCAAAATACTGTTAAACAAGCACAATTTGGTTTATGGTCCTCTGACTCCAGATCGGACTAATTAGAGTAGCTGTCAAAAAACATTACTTAACATGTAAAGAATTCGTGGCCCATTATGAGTCGTATGCTTTCGAAAGCAAATGTTAGTTCATCCAAGCACAAAATGACAAAATGATGACAAATTTTCTATTTATTATAGACACGACAATAACACAAAACTAGATGTGTTTTATGTCAAATTATTTACTCAGACCTTCAAGAAATTCGAAAAAAAGCGTTTGGGAGAGAAAAGGGAGGCCAGATTTTTCCCTCTTGTTATGTGGTTTATATTTTTGTTTTCCTCTAACCCCAACTAACTTCACTACCCTCTAAATAACACTAAATCCCAACGAAGTCTTAATAAACTTCTGGATCCGTGTGGATTGAATACAGTCGCTAGGTTACCAAAGGCTGAGAGACCCCCCCCACACCTGTGCGCAAAATCAGATGTTGGCCTTCTTGTTGATGAGCACGGAGCAGCACGTGAGGGCTCCATCCACTTTGACCTTCTGCATGTTGCACACGGGGATCAGCATGTAGTCCTTCAACTTCTCAAACACCTGCGGGACACATAGACATGACCATGAATGGAAAAACATCCCAACATCCTGCACCTGCAGATCATTCTAACCTACCTGGTGTCTCAAGTATCACTGACTAGCCTGCAAAGAAACAAGCCCTTTAGAAAAGACAGACAAACAGCTCAGTTGGCGGTGGTTAAATTGAAAGGCAGCACTGATGCCACTCGGAAGTTTGTTTACTTCATTAAACAACTTGTAATGTTCTGTCATGTGAACACCCTGCCCAAAGGGTGACACAAATTGTGAAGGCGGAGACAAAGTACTCGAGGCGGTTTCCTCGTCTCCCGGCTAAATATATATATATATATATATATATATATATATATATAAATAAAAAGATGGGAGTGAGAACTATTACGACATCCTCAAAGGACCCTCGTAAAGTAGTGCGTCACCCCGTGGACTTTTTCCAGAAGAAAACCAGTGTTTTCCTACTAGACTTCCAAGCCAGGGGATTTTTCTCTTTAAACTCTCATTTCAACCCTGCTGCGATACTGAGCGACGCCTCGAGGCACAGCCAGAGGGACCAGCTAGACAAATCCGTATCTCATGATGCAATATGGCTGACGGAGCTTCTGGTGATCCTAATTACATGTTGAAAGTCACCACTCCCATGTGCTTTTCGAACTCCTGACTTTTCTACCTAAAACTGTTAAACAGCGGCAACGGAACCATATTAAACCACCTTCTATACGGTCTTCATATCAATGCTTTACTCCAAACGTCAGTATTGGATTGCTGTTGATGTTTAGCTCGAGCACCAGATGAAGGGATCACACGAAAAAAGGTTTACCACCATAGTGACCACACAGCACCCATCGAATGAGAAAGGAAGTATAAGAGTAAAGTAAATAAGACCTTATAAACTAAATAATGTCACTGTCTCCATCCCAACCACTCCTCTCTCATGACCCCCTGCCTCTGTTAATGTGGAACTCTTATGTAACTCTAAGAGACAACTAAAAATAGCCAGGGACAAAGATTTAGCAGATGTCTTGCAGAGTGACCCTGCAGTCATGCTGAGGTCTCACCATATCTCGTTAGGAGGAACAAGGAGCGCGTTTCCTTTGGGAAATATGTAACAACTTTGGACGTACTGTACAGCAAGGCATGGTGGGCAACTCTCAACCAAGTGCTTATTTTACATATTTTTCCACTTTCATAAGCGCTGATTCCTTAAACACCAGTTTGGACCGGATGTGTGTCCCATTCCTGGTGGGTTTGACCATTAAAAAGGAAACAGGATCATGGAACTAACATGCATTCCACAAAGATTGCTCAGAATGGTTCTTTAAAAGATTTTCCAAAGCAAGCAGCATGAGATACACGAATACATTTTCATTACGCTCAAGTTCAATTGCCTCAGTTGATCTTTCTTGGAAAAAAGCTCGCCACTGCCGCAGACTTACGTCCAAAGACATATCATTTCTGAATTCTTCCCTCTAAAAATAGATGGGGGGAGGTAGGGGTTTCAACCACAGAGTACATTGTGAGGTCTGAGAACTGTCTCTGCAGATTGTAGGGTGCTGGCTTGGATCCTGTGGGAATCCTTTTTCCTTGTTGTGATGAGGAGTGATCCCAAAGCTGCTTTTCCAACCCCGGAAAAACAGACAGTAATAAGTTCATTCACAATTATCTACAGTGGAAAACAATGTGAAGGCGTCAGGAGTGAATTTGCAAGTAAGTCACATTGGGCCTCGTGTAGTAACGCTTTTGCGTTACAGTATCTATCTATCTATCTATTCTGCGGTATGTACAGAAACCAGACGTGAAAGCGCGCCTCCGTTTTGCGTTGAGAATTCTCTGCCTCCTAAAAGCAGGTGTTAACCAGAATGCGGGTTTACTCGCAAATGCCTCCTGGTGGGATGACAGCAGTAATCCGAACCAAAAGGAGACGAGCAGAAAGGATCTTTGACACAAGGATCACACTTTTTCAGTTGCGTGAACACAAAATCAGCGCCTCATTATTTACACATCCAATAGATATAGAGCAATATTTGCATTTCTTTTACACCTGATGAATGTAATTCAACATTAAGTTTGCTTTTATATAGTTTGGTCTCCGACAGCTTTTCAGGGAAGTATCTGATCTTATAATTATATACATTATAACTTTATTCCCATATTAATTATAGCAACTTAAAAAGGGCCAGTGTGATGTAGTCAGGAGATCTTTAAGCAGAAATGGAATATCAAATTATTAAGTGAAAAGAAGATGTATGCGGTAACATTGAAATATGCCATTTATAACTACACACAGATTGGGCCTTCTGCATGGACTCTATGGGGCAACGCCATGTAAACACACCGAACTTCGACCCTCTAGCACCATTCACATCCTTAGTCAAAGGTGACTTAACATTAAAATGCAGGTTACAGGCCAGCTGTGGCTGACCAGCAGCGGTTTGTGTAAAACAACCACGTACTGTTTTGTTTTCCCTCTCCAGCCACTTGATTGTACGTCTGCACAGGATGGCGAGCAGCAAAAGCCCAAGCTCTTCAACATTAAGCCACTACACCCAGCATGGTTGCCCCGACAGTCTTCCTTAAGTTTCAACCTCAGAGTTGTAAAAGAATGCAATAATAATTACTGTGTGCGCATGTGAAATAAGCTGAGCATTACCTTTGCACTTTCTGGATACTGCTCTGCAGTCGGGTGCAGGAGCACATGTCCCTTATTAGGTAGGTTCATGTAGATGCAGTTGGCAGCGAGGTCATCCGGCACCGTCAGTTTGTCATAGCGATGGTCACTCATTTGCTGCATGATCTACACACACGGATGAGAGACAGACAGGAAATAGACATTGAAATAAACTAACGACAGGCTGTTGGGACTGAGGACAAAAAAACAAAACGGTTATTCTGACTATCAGGCACTCTGAGTGTAAAGCAGCACCACATCTTTGTGCTGGCCAAACCGCTCTCTGGGCCTGGGGGCCTAAATGGAGAACACAGGGACATTCGGACATTCTTTCTCGGCAGATGTCACGTATTTATGTAATCTGAAAGAGTTGAAAGTGGGACGGAGTGGGGGGGAGCGAGGCTGAGAAAACGCCCATGTTGCCAAGTGGAAGTCATGGTTGAGGATGTTATGACCAGAGGAGAGACAGGTGCCTCTTAATGTTTATGAGTAGAACATCTGCGGACGGATACCTCAGAGACGAGAAGGGGATGGGAGGTGGAAAGCCAGTGGAAAAAAGAGAAAAGAATTCCAAACATCAACATTCAGAAAAGGAATTATGACAAGTGAGATTCTTGTACCAGATATAAACTTCCCGTATGCATTTTAATTGCTCCTCTTTCTGTTGTCATCTTTAATCAAGAGCCGGATTACTTGGTTGTTTGCTAATGAATTTCAGTCAAAAAACGTCACTGGTAAAACTATATACAAATGCCGCCTATGGGACAACACCGAATCCCAAATTTTAAATGCATGACGTCTCGCATGACGCACAATGGTTTGGTGGAGTGTCTCTAAGCGACTGAGATGACACAACCTCAAACGGGGGAGGAAAACGTGAGACTGGTGAGCACAATGGGCTTTGTGGCTAATGACTGACCCGCGGGATCTGTTTACAGGGACAGAAAAGGCCTTTTCCTTTGTTAGTTACACAGAAATGTGGAATATTTTGCAGTTATTTGTGTATTTTTGCAATTGTAATATCCTTGAGCCAAGCAGTTGCCTCCTGGTCTGCCGTACGGAGGGGGACTCCCCGTCCTTTTTAATCGTTCTCTCTTTTTTGCTTCTCTCCGCAAGCACATTGTTTGCTTGGGATGCTGCTGGCTAACCAGTCCCCAATCTGTTGAGGGCTGACCACTTTCTCTTTCGGAGGTTCGTGCCAGAGAGCTGTTAAGTAGGGTCGGACGCCAGATGTTTTTTGGGACATCCCTGGACTACTGTTCCTTTTCCCAAGTAGATTGATTGTTCGTTTTTCTTCTTCAAATCAGTGGTCTGGATGGGAGAAGCAGAAGTAATTGCCCGTAAACAATGCCTACTGATCTCAACGCAATATCAAATGTGCAGTAATAATAGAATTAATATAGCAGAGCGTTCTTGGGAATCAGTCAGGACATAGGAAGGGACAGACTATATGTTTCTGGCATCGGCATCATTGCATTGGTTGAAATAAATTTCCGAATAATTCAATGCGGTTAGAATAGCAAATCCGATCATTAAAAACAAACCCCCCAAGGAAAAAACGTTGCTCCGACAATGTAAAAGAAAAGTCACAGGCGGGAAATCATGCCGTACGCCAGCACAGCTTCGACCACTACCCTTAACTGATGATGTAACAGTGAATGAACGGTCCCTGCAGATGACAAAATACATCTAACTATCTGGGAGCCGAGACAGCCATTTCTGAGTGCAAGGCAGCAGGGTGGAGTTCAGCAAGTGTGTGCGCATAATGTACGTCTGCATGTGTGTAACCGGACCGGACACATTCCCATGTCACATGTGGGTGTGTTAGGTGATTGCAGCGGCCATAAATGAAAACACTGTCCATGTGCGTGACCGCCAACACGGCCTCTCACATACAGGGGGGATTAGGAGTGGTACAGGGGACAATAAACGGGCACTCCACCAAAGATCACTCAGTAAAGACCGAGTGTTAGGAAAATGTCCTACAGCAAAATGTCACTGTGCTTCGTGCAAAGTTCTGGTAGATGAAATGCGCAGAATAATTACTTAAGTGAAGGAACAGTTGGTTCTCAGTTCAATGTCAGTGGGAGCAACAACGCATCCATTTTTGATTTATTGAAGGTAACTTAACTCCGGGTTCATGAATAAATAAAATCAAGGGCAGGCATTGTTGGGTTTTTGTGAGCCTTTTAAGCAAGTCAGACTAGATCAGACTATCAGAAGCTTTTGGTAACATGTGGTTAAGTTTAAGTCCAAAAATTTGGAGGAAATGTTACAAAACAAAAAAAACAGTATAATATCGTATATATGTATATATATATGTTTGTAAGCAGAATTTTTTTTTCAATCTCAACTCCTCCTGAACATGAACTTCACTATGTTGTTGCCTCAACATCCATAAAAAGTGAAGCATGTAAACATCAATGATTGGTGAGAGATCGAACCCTGACCAGCAGTGAGCAATGACCTCATGAATATGGGCCGAGTAACTGGTGATCTTAATTCCAGCCCGGGAGTCCAATAGAGTGAGGTAATAGTGTGTGAGGGAACAAGAAGCGGTTGCTGCAGATATTTCAGGATGATGACCTCATACCTGAAGCCTGCCAGTGATGGCAGGGGATGGATGACGAAATCCATCCGGTAAATGTGTACTCTCCCCCATGGGAGAGCTAAACTCAGACAGGGGACTACACTTTGCCAACAGCACACATCCCAGATATAGACAGATGGCAAAAACGGAGTGTAAATGACCTAATGACCAGATGTCAGGGAGATATAGATAAACAGAACTTGAACTCTAGAGCCACACTGCCAACAGGCCGGGGTCTCCTCTCTTGAATTGTCCCTAAAGACAGAAATTAGTCGGGCTCCAACTTTAATTCGTACAAGGAGTCTCATTGCCATGAGAACTCCATACACATCCAAAAACAGCATTCACAACATCCCACAATGAGGCCGAGTCATTAAAAGTCCCCTGAAATAGTATCTAATTAGTGCAGAGGAAGGTGACGCAAGCTGTAATTAGAAAGCAGGCAGCCTCTCATTAAGTCTCACTACTCTTTGCCGCTTCTTGCTCCAGTAGCCATTTGCTGGGGCGATCAAGCAGCCAAGTATCTGAACGAGTCAATTCTGAAATATAAAATCAATTAGCGGGTGTGTTTACACACAGATTCTTAACTATTTCTGTACATTTTAGCTGTAGAAAGTCTGGCCTCATGCTGGTCTCAAGCGTTTTGCTTCATCAGGATGTGCTGTCCGATGGTCCAGTTCAATTGCCCCATTAGATATTATCAAGGCTTTTGCTTGAATTAAAGTAACCTTGTGTAGAGTTGGGCCAGTAGGGGGAGATATCACACTAGTAGGCAACTAAAGAGGCTTGCCAGAAAGTATATGTCAATGCCAAGTGCCTGTGTGCTTAAATCTTCATACTAATGTCAATAAACAAAAAGCATGTGTGACTATGTGTGTAAAAACATTACATATTGTATTATTACACTGTATTTCAGTCATTTGTGCTGAGAGAAGGTTCACACACAGTCTCGTGTTGACGGTTGAGAATTTGAGAGATAATCAGGTTGATGGGCTGAGATGAATTACTCTCATTGACCAATCTGTCTCTGTCAGGGTGTGAACTGCTTCTTGTTTATGTTGAGTTGTTCAGCATCCACATGGTTCATTTTTTTAGGACTATTGTAGGATGGAGCTAGATCGATTCAGAAGCCTTTCATGCTGTAATGAGCCAAAGCTGTTAAATGAAATACCTTTGTAATTGAAGCTGGAGTGTGAGCGCCAGGGGCAATCCCCTTAGCCTCGCTGAGAATATGAATTAATGACGAAGGATTAAGGTGACAGGTGGTCTCAATGTAAGGAAGTCTGATCTGAATCAACACATGCAATGTCCTGTCTTGTAGTGTTATTCTTGCTGAATACTTTCTAGGGAGAAAAAAGTGACAGGGCTGTTAATACCAACCACATCGAGCCAAGAGTCAACCAAAAAAAAAAAAGAAATCAGCTGCGTCATAGTTAGAAAAACAATGCCACTACATTGATTCAGTGGTTGCTATGACGACAGCTGGGCAAAGCATAGCAATGGGAGGATGCTGTTACTGCACACACAACACATACATACACAAACTCCATACTTTGAGGGCTTTCTGTGCCGGTTCACTGGAGCCAATGACAATAAGGCCTGGTCCGCCCATACTGCAGAAGCTTTTCAGGTGCAGCCCTTCCAGCACAGGTACTGTTGACACAGCGTAGTCCTGCAAAACACAACACAATCAATTAGCTGAAGCACAAAAGAAATATGAAGATAGAAAAACATGCAACTCTTGACTACAGTCAAGCAGCAGGAATCACTTTTCCTGTTTATGGTGTCAAACATTAAGAGCACGCCTCTGAAGTCAAGAGTCTCTGCTGAAATAAAGTTATCTCATAGATGTAATTCTTTGTCTTTTGTGTAAACCTTATGCACAGCGACAATGTCATAGCCTGCTTGTTTTCTTTAACCAATTATCAGAAGGAATAAATATGTATACAGTTTCAATCAGGGCGGCGTGGTGGTTAGCACTGTTGCCTCACAGCAAGAAGGTCCTGGGTTCGATTCCGCCCAGTGGCCTTTCTGTGTGGAGTCTGCATGTTCTCCCCGTGTCTCTCCGGGTTCTCCGGCTTCCTCCCACAGTCCAAAGACATGCTCTGGGGATCAGGTTAATTGGGGACTTTAAATTGCCCGTAGATGTGTGAGTGTGAATGGTTGTATGTCTGCGATTGGCTGGCGACCAATCCAGGGTGTACCCTGTCTATCGCCCGATGTTGGCTGGGATGGACTCCAGCCCCCCCGCGACCCTGTGTGCAGGATAAGCGGTTTGACAATGGATGGATGGATGGACAGTTTCAATCAAAGTAGATAATCTTCATGAAGGCAGGATTGGATCGGATAGGTGTAATATCGCGCAAATCTTTTGTTTGCGACAAGGCTTCAAAGCACCGCCGCTCCAGTCAGTGTACGTGAAAGGATGTGAAATGGGATATATGGTTTTAATAAAAGAGCACTGCAGTGTTTTTGCAGTATTAAACTAGGTCTAAAGTGACTTTTTTTAAATGAAATAGTGGTCAACTCAGGGGCAACAACAGCACGAGTGTCCGGGAGATGATATTATTGAGCCCAAGGCTCATGTGGTTATTAGACAGAGCAATTTGAAGGCTGCAGGATGTTGCATACCAAATGTTGAAGTAGGAGTATAGGAGTCAATGGCATTGGATTTAACAGCTGAACATTGCATTTGGGCCTCTTTAAAAGCCCTACGTTCTACATAACATTTAATATTCAGGCAATTAAGTAAGCAAGCAACGTAAAGTAAGAAACAATCAAGAATGTGTGATTGAGAGGGTAACTGTGGTATTCTCTAGTATGGGGCCCTTTCCCCAGGTTTTGGGGTCTGGGAACAACAATTTCTTTCTCATCAACCACCACTAAAAGTGCTTGTTTTCACTATGGGTATGGCTCCAGAAAAAGTCAAGCTCTGAAATAAGTGAGATGGTGTGTACCTGGACAACAACAGTGGAAACACTGCGAGCTGGCCGAGCTGGTCTTTGTGTATAGAAAGCACAATATTAAAGACAAAGTTTAAACTTTAATATTTTCGGTCCGAAGGCTGAATAAATGGAGGATATCGACAATATGGATGCGGTCTTAAAACTAGGTGGCCATGCGTATTCAATTTATAAAGATATACAGATTGTACAAGACTTGATAACCTTCAGTGGGAATAAGGACATTACAAAAAGGTATGTTATTAGGCAAAAAGGTAAGAAAAAGTAGTATTAGTCAGTAGTGTCCTTTCCATATCTGAGTTAGTAGCAGAGAAACCGCAATTTTAGTGTATATATTAATCCTTGATACTGGAGCAGCAACAAAATTGTTTCCCCCCTTTGAACCAATACACAACAATATGGAAAACGCTGAGCAGACTATAAAACTATGAAAAAGCAAAGAAAAAAGAAATAAAGAAGTCTCATGTATGTTCCTGATGCTCACAGTAAGGCACCCATTAAGAAAACCTGCTTACCTCCAAATCTCTTAAGAGAATAAAATACTTTTGACTGCAATCATTTTCCACTTTCAACATGATTGATTGAGCTAAAGCCGGAGTTGAGCCCTACAGAGATTTGTGAACCTTAATGTGATATCAAGCTTTAATTTGAATTAGGCAAAACCCCAAAAAGCTTTCCTTCCTGAATGCACGTTCATTCATTTATATGAGCATATCAATTTAGTTTTCTACCAAAGGACTGACATTCATGTGTTTTCTTAATCACACAATATGTTTTGAATAGTTTTTATGCTATGAGGTATTGGAAGTAGTGTGTACATTGTCCAGTTACACTCTTGTGTGATATTTTCCATTCAAGTATATGCAACACTTCAAGTCAATGTTTGTACTGCATCAATAACTCAAAATAAAGCTCTATGAAGTATTTTTTTGTGAATGAACCAAAAACCATTTTCTTGCCAAAAACATGTGAAATAAATCCAATAAATATTTCCTTGGCACTTGTTCAGAAGATACAAAGGGGAATTATGCAATCTGAACTTCCTTAACCCCTTATACAAAAACAGGAAGTTGCAGTTCAAACTTAAAAGTACGAGTCATACTTTTCTTAAAAAGAGAGCTAATAGTAAGAGACTGTTGCTTTTTATTTGCACTTAAACCCTGAAAAGACCCATAGACCAACCCAGAAGAAGACCAAGCTTTGGTGTTAACGTCCATAACAGTGTTCATCTTCGATTTTTGAGTCATGTACAGATGAAAACAACTGCTTTGGCTTCTACATTATTCTCACCAAACCAACTCATTCAATCAAAAGCCCCATCTGCTTTAACCTCTTCAAGGACCATGAAGAAAAGAGCTCTGACATCTGTACGCAGTTGTTGAGTGATAAACAAACCTGGCAACAAAGTGACCCTTAATTTAATAATGATAGGGGGGGGACGTTATAGGAGGAATCAATCTGATAAAAAACGGAAAAAACAATAATGGACGCTCAAGTGATTTTTCCTAGTGTCATTTGCAAGTGACGGATCATTAAGTCCTGTTTTATCAAAAGGTAGCTGAAAACACAGAGGAATTCACAATGAGGAATTCAAATCAGATACAGACTAGGAAAAGGAAGCACAGCAATGAGCCCATTTAGGTCCCCGTAACGTGGTGAACTCTTAACGCCGTGACCCACCTCTGAACTTAAGTTGTAAGCCAGCTTTCCTCCAGGCCCTCAGTGCAAATCCAAAAGCAATACGCATGAGTCTGTAGTATGAAACTTAGAATAACAATAAACAAGATAGATAGAATCGGTCTGTGTTTGTGACCCACACCGTGACCCTGTTTCCAGGCTGCATGCCTAAATTCTTCCCGTTGGCCTGAATCTGTTTGGGTTATTTCGCAGACTATTTTCTTTGCATGTGTGTGTTGTTTGTACTATTTCTGACCTCAGCTATCGCCACATCAAGGTCAGGTCAATGCCACACAGGAATTAGTCTGAAGGTGGTCAGAAAAATGAATTAATACTGAATCAAATAACGTAACAGGAGAAGGAGAAGGACCAGGCTTATACACCTAATTGTTGCCTTTTACTTTAAGAAAAAGGACGGCAATCTCATGAGAAGCCCAAACCCAACAAAGCATCTTTCAATACTTTCTGATTTATCCTTCCTGTCTTTGGCAGCTTCAAGCTTGTTTGTTCCTACTGAAGATGGAAACACATTAAATGGAGCACTTTAGTTTTTTGCTAATACTACAAAAACAGGGGGAAGCAGTAGCCAATCCGGTTCACTGGAGGGTATTTTTGTTAACAGGAGAGAGTAGTGTAGCATCATAACGGGGGAAATCTGTGTAAAGCTAAATGCAATAGTGAGTCACACTGATTTGTCTTCAAGTACATTTTTGCAGAACAATGAACGTCTTCAGCACAGAGTCTATTGACGCTATTGGCATCAATTGCCTTGCTGCCCCTCTTTACACCACTGCAGCATTTAAACTCACCTTAAAGGCATCTGCTAGAATCTCTGCTCCCCTCTGATTGGTCCGTTTGGAAAGGCCCACAAAGAACTCTCGACCTGAAAGACAATTTGTTGTCACTGAAGTGGTTTAGGCAAACTATAAATTCCATTCGCCTTAGTTAATTCCGTACAATCGTCTCTACGCCTGTTGTGACAATTGAATGCAGCCGCTCACCACAGAACAGATACACACACAATAGACCTCCAAACAATTCAAGGCTTCAAAAAAACTGAGGAAGAAAATTGGACGGCGGGCCCCATAGTGTGTACTTTGTGAATGCGTGTGAGGACGGCCATCTGTGGTCAGTACGGTGGGGCGTAAGCAGACAGAGGCCTGGAAGCCTGGCCGGGCTGCAGCAGCACACTGGGCTCCCCACATGGCTGCTGAAAACAAAATGAGCCGTTAACCGGGGCCCTGCCAACAGGAAATGTTTCCAGCCATGCCATGTGAAACCGATTTCAGCTGGAAGGAACGAGCACACGGAGCTGGCGTCTAGGAACCCAATTAAGTGCACTGTGCTTTTTTCTCCTTGTGGCCTGCGCAGAAGGGCCTGATCCACATTTCCCTCACCCATAGGACTGTGCCCACGACTCTCTACCCGTACCAAGTTGTATCATCGGATGCCAGAGGGAGAAGAGGCCCGCGGTGAGAGCCTGGAGTGCTGCTTATTCTATTTGACCATAAGTAGTCTACAAGTGTTTGTGTTCAGGGAAGGTTTGCTGAGGAACCAGGTCAGTGAGGTCGCACAGAGGAATGTTTGCCCGTTACCGTGTGACTGGTCAACGCCAGTGATGTTGTCTTGATGCAAAATAACAGATGAGGCAAAGGCAAGAATCAACACAAACATCTATTAAACCATTTTAATGTACGTATGTTTTGTTGCTGCATTTAAAGTGTCCCTGTGCTTTAGTATCTGATTAAGATGAAGCAATGAGCAATACCTTGTTTTTTAGAATGATGGTAGTTTACTCTCAAAATGTCACCCTTGACTTTGGTCTATGATGAATTTTTAAAGTTCTTTATAAAGTAATAAAATAACAGGTATATTCAGGTCAGAATCAATAGCAGCGGTAAATTACTAACACCTCCCGGCACACATCTCCCTTCCCACATGCCCTGCATTTTTTGAGCAAAATTGTATTTTAGGATTTAACTTGCAGTGACCCGGCAGCAACACACTTCAGACATGCATACATTCACATTTAGAACCAGTAAAGTCAATATGGTTCCACCTCTCGGGCTAGATGATCTTCTTCATTTTTTTCATCTATGTAAACTTGCATATATATATTTATGTTTCTGTACAAACCAACAACTGTCAAAACGAGTACAGTATGCTTGGACGTTATTATGGCATTTTACCACGATTTCATTCAACTATATGATATAACTTGTATGAATGAACATATGTATGAAGTCTAGGATAAAAAATATCAGAAAATCTTCAGTCTTCAATTTGTTTGATTGTGCAGAGGTTGTACTGTTCAATAAAAGACAAGGTTCGAAGAGACAGACCTGTAAAAAGCACATCTCCTCCATCCAGTGTGGCCTTCTCGTCAGTCATTTCCACAATGTTCAGATTCAACTCCTTCAGAGCACTTTTCATTGTCTCCGTCTGGAACAAAAACATGAAGTACATTAAAACAGACAGTGGGATGACATAGTAAACTGCATCAGTAAATGGAATAAACCATCAGCCATTTACTATCTTTGGGAATAAAATGATGCGGTGCAGATCTAAGCGAGAAATCTGTAGATTGTAAATTGAAAATCAGTTTAAGGGTATTCACTGGATTCCTTTAGGCACCGTGTTTACCAGCACCCCATAACATTGTGCACAATGAAACTAAACCTTCTCTCTCCAACACGCTGCCATTTTATCATTTAATGAACCATGAAATTATGTCCTTTTGTAGGAAGTACAAGTGCTTGTACAAAGCGCTGGCTGCGGAAAATAGCCTGAATGACTAACACTAACTCAAACAAAAGCTGCTTCCTGTCCTCGTGTTCAAGGTCATCCGTCGTTCCCATATTTAGAGAGAGGAAGTAAAAGCGTGGCTGCATCCCGGATAATTATAATAACATATATAAAATGAATGGATTCCCTTGATGGAAAGGGGAGGAGGAGGAGGGGGAGGAGGGGGGCATACCACATTTTACCACCGTGTCCTCCCTGATGAACTGAGGGAAGAGCAGGTATTTCCTTTTGGCTGAACTGTGGCTGGTCTGCTCTCCTGTCTGACCGCCCAGCGTGATTTTACCAGGCTGTTTTTGGGGTTCCCGCGGGACTACTTTCCGAGGCCCGCCATGTTAGCGAGAGCATCAGTGTTTCCACAAGCCCTATCTCACCATGACCTCAGCCTGCGCACAGTTCTCTTTTAGTGTACACAATGCTTCTGCTTCTCCTCATTTGTGGAAAGCCGAACCATGAGGTCACCCAGGTAGACGTCCATGCACTTCCTAGATAAAGGCCGGATAACTGTCTTTTTCTTATGCACAAATTCCTGTCATGGCAGGATACGCTCAGTTGCCAGTTCACCAGGTACTCCGAGCAAAAGCCGTTTCTACCGTTGTGATTCCTCCTCTCATGTTACAGCCTCACTGCAGGTATTCTACTCACACAGTTCCTTAAAAGCTTTGACGGTAACAGCAGCGTAACAGCATGCTACGCTATTCATTCACTTTAGTTTCTCGGAATATTGGCTGGCAAATACAAATGTTGAGTCAGATTCTGAGGAAGTAAACAATCCCAATGACTGAGACAGAAGTACGTTTGTCTTCCTTGGAATTACTCTGGATCCTCAGGTCGTTCTCAGCCAGCTCATTCTTGCCCAATAACCGAACCGATTTGTGACAAAAACTCATGTTAATGATATCAGCAAGGTCAGATTTGGGCCTCCGTCAGCCGTTTGCCCGACATTTATTTGAAAATTGGGTAAAGAATCCCAAGAGAATTAAGAAAATCTTCCAAAGTTTAACAGGAAAACTAGATAACGCTGAATCTCATCTCAAATTGTGTCTCGGCGGCTTGGATTTATTTGAGCAGATGTTGTCAAGCATCCCACTGGCTCAGCCGGCAACAACAGGCCTGACAGAAGGCAAGGAGAACCTTCCGGACTACATCACACTACTAACCTGCATTCTTTAGGTGGTTTACATCACATTTTGATGCGGCCATCAGCCTCATCCTGATAGAAGCAGGAGCATGCCACTGCATCCCGCAGACACTTCAGAAGATCAGGACTTAACTTATTGGTTCTTCCTGCGATTCATACTGCACTATCATCACTAAGTGAGATGTATGTTTTGACAAAGAACAGCTCTGTCTTCTCTCTGTGGCCCTTTTCTCTTTCTTTCCTTCACTGACTTTCATTCCTCATGTATTTGCCACATTCTTTCTATGTCTGCATAGTGGCAGGGTCAAGATCTCTCCTAGTGTGGCTTCTGATGCAGAGTGGCCCATTATCTCTCACCGTAAGGGACATCCAATACCCGACCCTGCCTTGGTGCCAACTCACTTTGCCAGCACCCCCCCCCCCCATCCTCTCCCGTCCTCTTCCCTCTGCTCTCCTCTTTTTCCCTCGGCCGGGCTAAATGTTAGCCGGTAGCCTGCTTTGAATGAGAAAGGAGAGATCCAGTAGGTCTGCCTGACACATTCCTGCCGTTCCAACACAGGACAGGGGAGAAGGAACTGAGAGAACACCCTGTCATTTGAGGCTTTTCATCCATTCCCTTGCCCTTGATACCAGTTATCGCATTCTACTCACAAAAAGAGGACCGTCAGTCTGCGCGGTGCATTTGTCGAGGCAATAGAGTACACAACAAAAGCATTCCTGAAAGTCATCCTAGCCTCCCTACACCAGCCAACAGAGTCCCACGCTCCAACATAATGGGGATCAGCTACAGTTTGAGAATGTATAAATTACATGAAAACAAAGGCATGTAGTGCCAGGCAGTTTGCTTGATCAAGGAGACAAAGAGGACATTAGGCGGTGACACTGTCACATTTGCTTAAACTGATAACCATCAGTTTAAGTGTAAGCATGTTGCATTTGGAGCTGGCTGGCAGGAGAAAGCATATCTTTGCAAAGGGATTCCACGGTCTAAACATGTTAAGAACCATTGGTATCATAGTCTGCAGACACTAGTATCTGGAGTTATGTTTCTGGCAACCTGTCCATTAAACGTTCAGCCATTAAATCTAATTTTAGCTGTGTTTCCACATTCTCATGGGTTCACAAGGCAGTTGTCTGGTGTTGAGTGTTGAGCATCTGGGGTTTATGGGAGCTTTTTCGTTGAAAACGACTGCCTGCTGTGGCTGAAAATGTTTGATGAGAGCCAGAGGAATCAAAACAGAAAAATTGTTGGCCATAAAACGAGCCAAAAGACAATGCACGTCTGCGTGAAGTTGATCATTCTCCTTCCTTTCACACAACACAAAGTGATAGTAATTAGATATATGAAAAATGACTGCAGCTTTGAGGCTTATAATAGATTCTTAAGATACGTAAATGTAAACAACAGCTGTGTTTAAAAACAATGACCAAAAGTGACTTGCTTGGAATTGGGAACAAGTTTGCAAACGTTTTGTGCGTCATAGCGAAGGGTTTGGCTGGACATTCAGGACACGGATGATGATCGTAACAGATACTGTAGAAGAGCCCTGATGCAGAGGAAAGTTCAAAGACCAGTGGAACACAGAATAGGAATAATGGCCGTATTTCAGGGCAATTGACCAAATGGAATTTGATATAAAAGCACAAATGTAATTACAAACCTTGTTACTGCTATCTGAACCAACTGTGTATCAAGTCTTTGACATAATGGAGCAAGCAGAGATTCCCTTTGTTTACTAAATGAAGAAAGTGTGATTAAATGCCTTAATTATGGAAATGTTTGGCTGAGGCAGCGGTTTCATTGAGTGCCTGAGGTAGCCATCAAAGGTAGCCATGAAGGAGACATTCTACAAAAGATGTGGTTTCAGGCACATATGCACACACTAAACATGTGAAAGTGTGGCGTTTTTGGACATCAGTGCCTGATGATCACTCATCAGTAATCACAAAGCACTCATACTCGAGTCACATAGGTAGGCGCAGACATGGAATAAAGGGCCCAGTCTGATGCCGTCATGGCGGTCAAATGTCGCATTCCTAAAGGGAACTAACTGCAATGGTTTGCACTCGCGCAGCCTCTAACGAAAGAATGAAATGACAACATCTCATTTAGTGGCAGCCGAGAGAGAACAAACCCTCCACGTGTGTTATCCAAACAAATCAATGGTGTGAGTTGGAACATACCTGTGGTCGACCACGCCGTGCCACCCTCCGCCCTTGCAATTACCCACTCTCCCCCGTTGAGCTTTAGGACCACATTAATGTTGAGAAGTAGGTCAATGTGAAGGCCTGCGCAGCCAACAGTAGCAGCTCTAGAGACCCTCCCACCACATCCACCGCAAGGAGGCTGCCTCAGTAGAAGACCGGGGCTCCCTGGGTATCAGGGCTCCGAGGAGGAAAAACGCTAAACTTTAGTCCTGCTCGGACACATTTACACCCGTGTGAATGATGAGGGATAGCAGTAGGGCCGAGATCTGTCCAAAGCACTTGAAAAGATTGTGAGGAACAAAGAAAAGAGTGAAGGGCGTCATGCATCGGATTATTGAATGAGGTGTCTTCTTAAAACCATGTTATGCGTGAGAGGCCATTTCATTTCGGAGAGCTGAGGAAGGCTTCAGAACCCTCGTTAAACATAAAGGATTGCTCTCATTAGCTACTCCCTTTATTGTTTTTACATGGAAAACTCAAATTGAAAGAATTTCCCAAATATTGAATCATTCATTTTTAATGAAGAATGGTTTCAATGTGGGTCTTTGGGTGATGACACAAAGAATAATAGAAAACTATCTCTCTTAATTACATTGAAGCATCAAAGACCCAGATCCCATTTTCGAAATGCAATTTGAAGCAGAGATGATAATTGAACCTCTTAGACATCCTTGTTCATTTGCAGCACGTTTCTGTTAAGCTTTGTAGCTGCAGATGTTCTTCAAAATGGCTTATTATTGAGTAATTGATTATTGAGTACCTCTGTTGAATAAAGCTTGTAGAACCAGTCCTAAATAATGCATTTAACTGCTGAGAACATATTATCATTGGAGAGGACATTGGACATTTCTGCGCAGGACAGCAAATACATCAGGCATTAGAGTTAACTGTCAAACAAGGACCAATAGTTAGAGTGTACATTATCACAATGCACACTCACATAGTCACACAAGAAGAAGTAAATTAAAAATAAAACAGACATACAAGTCTCTCCCACCGCTAATAAAGAGCCAGCAGGCTGTAAAGAATATGTCTGCTACCACTCGCTGGGACGGCTCCACAAATACCGATGAGCCGCCGGCTAGGAACTGCTGGAAAGCCAAAGGATGGATGGAGCTTCGGTAAATACATCTCCACTTGGCACCGAGGCCTCTGTGTTTATTTAGTTTGAACCCCTTCGGACTGGACGTATATACTCAAACAAGAGGGAAAAGCCAATAAACGCACCTACGTCACAGAGGATTACAGTTCAGAGATTTACTACGCACAAGTACACAACCAAGAATTCACG